TAGAAAGAATGCCATTGCTTTATAGTTTTGCATATCTCATTGTTTGATGTAATGAAGATAACTAGATTCTCACACCTGCTTCTCTGTCGTTGTGTCTGAAATACATGAAGAAAATCTTCACACTCAGAGATGTTTGGAAAAGGCTGAATCTGGCAGCCCGTCTAAAAGGGTCTCAGGATTCTTCAGATCAGAGAACTTCTTCGATAGGTTTCCATGTTTCTTCACAAAAGAAGTTTCTGATAGTGTGGGAATCCTACCAAACAAAATTATAATTTGGCTACTTTTCCGTTGATTTGATTCTTTGAATGCTGTGTTTCCTTGCAGCTTTTTTGCTGTAATAAAGACACAGACGCCAGCGTACTAATTGATTCTCATTGGCATTAATCAGCTTCTCAGGATCCACAGTTAATCCGCAAGGTGGCAGCTCTTTCACACTTGTGCTTCTTCTCCTTCCCTGCAGTGGAGTGGAGGTGGGTCTGAGTCCAGGAGGGTTCTGTGGGTCAGTGCAATAAAACTGTTATTTAGGAGCTCCACATTCCGGCATTTGTTGTTATTACTGGTGAGGATGAGGAAGGACAGTAGAAGCACCTGCCTCTGCATTCTTCTTAACTTACCTCGTCCTGTTTCTTTGCTTCCTATATAGCACTCCTATGACCTCAGCTGTCTTTTTGCGAAGCATTGTTTATATCACCCAGTGTCTAGCATATGCTTGGCAGATGGCAAGCCTCCAGTAAATATTTGATGAATGAGTAGTTTGACTGTTGAGCCGTAGATTGCAAGCCTTTGTAATTTAACTCACACGGTGAACATGAGTCCACTTATATTATTTCCGTGGCTGTGAGAAGACTTTTACTGAAACGAAAAGTGAGGCAGTAACGAAAAGGCCTGCCTAGTGTTTGACTTAACTGGCAGAGGGCTCTTCCTCAGGTTCATTCACTTAGGGAACGAATGGTCATGGCCTCCCCCTGTTAAGTAAAAATTGCCTGAGATACATTGAATTTTGCTTTGGAAGAACATACGTGTTCTTGCAACCCGCAGCGGCGGCAGCTGGTGGTTCACGCTTCCCGTCCTGTCGATGTGTGCTGTGCCTGTGGTCGTGCGAGCATCCTTGCATGTTGGCAGAAGACTCTTTGGCCTTGGCTGATGCACGCTTTCTCTCTCCCTTTCCAGCCCCCTGCCCTCACACCTGTCCTCTGTAGGTAATTGAAAACTTAATTGAGCACATCTTTCACATTTATACCAAAATCTTAGCACAGTTTCACTTTGGAAAGATTGAGGAATTCACTTTTAGGATGTTGCAAGCTCTGGAGAACAGTTGAGGTGCTTGGAGATTTCAGAATCAGAAGGTGGGTCCTTTCTGACTCATTAGTAAGTAAAACACCTTCGTTAGTAAGGATATTCTCCTTCGTGGGACTCCCTGTTGCAGACAGACTTGTTGTCATGAAGTGATTTTGTTTCTGGTACAATGTAGAATCCAAAATAAGATAGAAGTAGTTTTCAAAAATTGGGTGTATGCAGCTTAGTTTAATGCTTTTAACATTTTTCCATGCTTCGAATGACCTTGAGATGGGATGGAGAGGGAAAGTGATGAGTTTTTAGAAGTCTATCAGAGAGGCACAAAACAAACTACATTTTTTTTTTAAATTAGAAGCCATCAATCAGTAACTGATTGGCTCAGGAATTTTGGTTTAGTAAGATATATTATTGCTCAACTTAAGTTGAATCTACAATCAGTATTTGTAGTTTTAAAAATATTGCAAGATGTAAAGATTGTTCCTTAAACCCAGTATTGTAAGTCTGTAATCAGGTCTGTGTATTTAAGTCATTTTATCACCTAAATTGAATATTTCATTGAAAATTTCAATTTCTCAATTACTATAGTTGAATGAAGATGTTGAATTAAAAGACTTCAAAGTGTAGGATTTTCTATATTTCCAAAGTTGTATGATTCTCTGACGTGATGATTCAAATTGAGAGGAAAAAGTGAAATTCAAATGATGAAAACCGTGGAACCAGAGTTGTCCTACTTTAATTATATGTGATGGGTAAAGGTGATTGAGAAGGACTATTTTAGTGAATTAAACACTACAATTAGAGTATATAGGAGAATATACAAAACTTACTGGATGTGGTTGAAAACTCAAAAATGATAATCTCTACATAGGAACATTGAGGGCATAGATTTTTTTTTCTGTCTGAAAAAATAACACTATGTTTATTTTTATACTGTGCTGTATTCTGTAATTTAAAAAATAAAACAGGAGAAATTCACTTGGTATAGGCCTTATCCAGGTTTGTTTTATTTTTCTTAATTGATAAAGGTTTAAACCTTAAATTATCTTTTGTTGGAAGAAATTTTTCTCCAGGCTCTCCTGAAATCTGTTTTAGCTATTTCTGTGAGAGGCTTACAAATCTCTGCTCCAGTGTTCTAATGGTGTTTAAATTTTTTTTAAAAAATTATTTTGTTGTGTGTATGTGTGTACCATCAAATCTGTTCTGACTGGTACAGGAGGAGATTGTTCCTCCTTCTCCAGCAGAGTACCTGGTGGCTTTGAACCGCTCACTTCTGGTATTGCAGTGCGGCTTCTTGCCACTAGGCAACCAGAGCTCACCTCTAATGGCGTTTAGATAGTTTTTAAAAATGTTTTCCTTTTCCAGATTAACAATCAATGCAGACTAAGCAGTGAACATTAAATTACCATTTAAGTGAGACAACCAGTTTATTATCACTGGCATGCATTTTTTTCTGCAATTCGTAGTGAAAAGAGTAGCTGAATAAAAGAAAAGACTTTCTTTAAATGTTTCTTTTCTAACATATTTGTGTTTACAGATTAAGGATTATCACCTGTTTGCAGACAAATGCCAGTGATAGAGTTCAACCTTTTAAAAAATAATTTTAGCTAATTATTTTTACAATATCCCTTTGGAATTTAGACCCATTTGAGCATTATTTTATGTTAATCATATAAAATGGACATATTGGATAGTTGTTTTAAATATCAAAGGTACGTGATTGCCAGAGCTTTTTTTCTTTTCATGGTGTTGAACCAAGTTAAGTTGCCTTTTCCTGTCATTACCAAGGATTAGCCCCTCCTTAGCCTTTGTACGGACCCAATGAAATTTGCTTTTAAGAAAATGCTTTACAACAGATGTTTGCAGTTCCTAGGCCTAAACCACTGTCTGCTGAGCCAAGTTGGGATACCAATAAAAGACCATTTTTCTGAGATGTCGTGGATTGACGTTTCCACATTTCTCAGACAACTGAGAGTGAAAACACCACCCACAAGTCAGCTTCATATGTCAGTGCACTGCTTTCCATGGACAGAGATTTCTTGATAGGATTTTTTTAAAAAGCCATGTTGGAAACTGATGCTTAGTTTTCAGTTTATCTCTGTGGTAAAGTCTGGGTTTCTGTTCCGTGAAGTGGCTGAAAGAGATAATCTAGGAAGACAGTGGTACAATTTTCACATGGTATCATTATACCGGGGTGTGTGTGTGTGCTTGTGTGCACACGTGTGCATGTTCAGGTATGTGCACATATGAATATCTTCATAAATATGTGCTGGGAAAGAAAAGGAAGTAAAAAAATAACTATGCACTGAGCACATACATATAGACAGACTATTAGGTACGAAGTCACCTAACTGCTGTTTAATTTTGTTTGATGTTACCTGAGCTATTCTTTCAAACTTTCATTGCTTTAGCTTTGTTGCAGGACCTGAATTATCTAAGAACTCCCTGCTAGTAATTCCTTTTACTCAATGTTATAGGAGGTTGAAGTTTATGTCTATTGAGTTGGAAACAGCAAGACTTATGAACACAGAAAAGTACAGTTTGATTTTTTAAATTGACCACTAAATATTAAAAAACAAACCCCAAACTCCCTTTCTTTCATCATGTGATTGTTGTTGTCATTGTGTGCTGTTGGGTCAGGCTTGACTCATAGCTGACCCTCCAGCAGGTTTTCAGAGACCATAAATCACAGTGGAGATCACTCATCTTTCTTTCACAGAGCAGGATTCAAGCCACCTGCCTTTGGGCCATCAGTGCAGCTCCTTTCCGCTAGGCCACCAAAGCTCCCGATTGTACAGTTAAGGGGTTTTAAAAACAGGGTTTGCTCCATAATCATTTTTCTATTTTAAAGAAATATCCTTTTGAATATACAAAGTGATCTCTTACCACCAAGTCCATTTCTACTCATGGCAACCCTGAAAAACAGTAGAACTTTCCATAGTGTTTCCAAGGTTACAGCCTCATTTTCCCCGTTGAATGACCTGTAGGTTTGAACTACCAATCTTCTATTAGCATCTAAATCCTTTAACAGCTACACCCCCCAGACTCCTTGAATTGTTTGAAGTTATATATTGCTGTTGAATATACAACTGTGTATTCTATGCTGTTGAATATACAACTGTGTATGCTGTGTGCCTTTTAGTTGAAACCAACCCTTAGCACGTATTCAGAGGCTGTAAATAGCACAGCAGATTGCCCGTCTTTCTCCTGTGGAGCAGCTGGTGGGTTCAAGTTGGTGTGTCTTTAGGTTGTCAGCGCAACTCCTTACCGATAAACTACCAGGGCTCCCCAAATAAGATATAGTATTACCTAATTATTTATAATAAATGCATTTTAAGATACTTTATAGAAATACAGACAAGTTTTCATTTTAAAAAGTTTTTCTTTTTAAAAGGACGTTGGTAATGTAATATTTTTTTTTTCAAATTGCTGAGTGTAGGTTCATGAAAACAGCCAAACTCAGAACTCAACAACTGATTGTTTCTGTTTTTTGTGTTTTTCTTATTTCCCCCCAATTGATTTCCGTGACTTAGACATTTCTTGCGGTTTTGTTAAACAACCCAGAAAATACCACTTGACTGAGAACCATGACCAGAATTCTTAAGCTTGTCTTGCTCCTGCTTCTCTTCGCTCCTTTTTCCTGAATGTAGACCTTAGTCCCGTGATAGTAGCCTTGCGATACTTGTCTTCTGCTGTTTCCACTATAGCTTTTGAGGAACTTGAAAAAGCCTTGAGTACAGCCCAGAAAACAGAAGACGCACGGAAGAAAATGAAGGCAGAAATGGACGAACAAATCAAAGCCATTGAGAAAACGAGCGAGGCAGAGCGTGTCAGCCTTCAGCAGGAGTTAAGTCGAGTCAAACTGGAAGTTGTGGACATAATGAAAGTAAGGGGATTCTAAACTGAAGTGACTAACAATTTCGAAAGTGACTTTTGATGTTTCCCTCATAATCTTTGGCTGTAGTGAAGATTTAATTTGCCTTTTAGACCCTGATGTTTATAGCTTCTACTTGAGGTCCTTGGATCTGTTATCTGGCTCCCTCAGCAGGTGGCCTCTGCAGAAGCTGACCAAGTAGGCTCTTGCCTGATGTGGGCTTGAGGAAATATGGGAGAAAGTGAGTAGGGGACTAGGTTGACTCTTTTGAGTTGTTTTAAAGGCTCCTTATTATTTGAGGTTCTGGTTACTCTTAAAGTAAGTTGTAAATGGAAATACCATTTATCCCAGCATTTCTACTACTAGAAATATACCTTAGTATATTAAAATATATGTATATATATACACACACACCCCCACACCCATGTTTATTGCTGTTTTATTCACAATAGCAAAGAGATGGAAGCGACTACCAACAAATAAATTAATAGAAAAACTATGGTATAGTCACACAATGGAATACTACGCAGCACCGAAAAACAAGGAACTAATAAAATATTATGCAACATGGATGACCCTGGGGGACATTATGCTAGTTAGTGAAATACTTAGTCACAAAAGGATAAATACGGCATAATGCCACTGTTCTAAAATAGGACTGACACAGGAGTTGAGAGGAAACTAAGAGGGGATAAATAATGAACACTGTATTAGAACAGATGAAGGAAAGAACTGTTTAACAGTAATATATATATATATATATACTGTCCAGAATAAGAGGTGCATTAACGAAGTGGACTGGCAGGGGAGTGAGGGAGGAAATTATGTAACAGTGAATGAATTTTTTTTTTTAAAATTGAACTGGGTGGATAGGGAGGAAAATGTTCAACAGTGAATTAATGAAAATCCAACTTTTGTAAACTTTTGTTAAAATCACAATTGAAAAAAAAATACAAAGAGACCTCAATTTCAAAGTTAATTAATTTTACCTCTAGGTAAAAGCTTATAAAGCAAATTTGTTCCTCATTTAACAATTTGCATGCATATGGTTTTATGCACTTGGTTGTAGTCCCCTCAGTGTGCCAACATTCTCCCTGGTTCACTGTGGGCTTACCATTTCCCGCTGCCCAGCTTTCCAGGCCCTTCTGCCTTCTGAATTTGACTCCTGGGCAGACACTGCCCTTTTGGGTTACACGCAGGTGAACTGAGAGTTTATCTTTATCAGGATTAGTGTTCACTTTCTAGGCTTGCCTCTGCCATGACTGCTGTAAGGTGGCATCTGGGGATGAGTTCGGTTCCAGGCTTAAAGGGTGTCTAAGGGCCATATTCTTAAAGTTCCACAGTCTAGTTGACCAGTACATTTGTTGTTCATGATAAACCTTTTTTTTTTTAAACCCTTGTTTCTCATTCGTTGTCTCCCTCACTCATTGTCCTCAAGTTGAAAGTAGATAACCCTCCCAGTGGGTTTTCAGAGGCTGTTAATTGCACAGGAGGAGATTGCCCATCTTTCTTCTGCAGAAAAGCAGGTGGATTCACACACCTTGTCTTTTGTTACCAGCATGGCTTCTTACTCGCTAGCTCAGCAGAGCACCCCAGACTTTGAAGACGTGGATCTTCTTATATATTCAGTGAGCTTGTCAGCGCTCCCATTTTATTGGTAATTTTATTTTATTATATTAAAGCCAAAGGTGGGTGATTTTAATCTGCAGCCCTCAGGCCTGATTTTTTTAATTGTTTTTGGTCAAACATTCTTCCAAGTGGTACAGCACTTGTTTGTCGATTTGCTGTACAGAGGTAACTTGTGGTTGCTGTGATGCTAAACACCGTGACACTGATGCATCAAATGCGTTAACGGTTACCCATGTTGGACAGTGTTTGGTGGAGCTCCCTGAAGAAAACAAGCTTGGAAGCGGGAGTGGCATCCACTTCTGAAATAGCTTGCCTCTGGAAACCCTATGAACTTGGAGAAAGGATGAAAGTTTTACAGGTGTCCAGGTCTTTCGTTCATAGGTTCGCTATGAGTTGTCTATGACTCGATGGCAAAACAACATATTAAATCTATAGATTTATTTAGAGACACTTGACCTTTTTTGTGAGATAGAGTCTTCCTATTCAAGGACAAAACTACAAGCATTAAATAAATACCATTAGGCCTCTATAGCCGAGGCAGCCTTACCTCAGGGAAGTCCCAGCTCTGAGACCAAGTCCCACTCCTGTGGCTGCACCTTCTCCTTCACCTCAGCTCTCCTTCCCTCAGACGAGGCCCAGAGCATTGATTGATCCACACATTGGTGCCTGATTAGCATGGCGAGTGTGTCCTGATAGTTCCTCTTAGTGTGTTTTTAGTTATGTAACTGAACTGCTGGAACATACTTATGGTTTAGTCCTGGAGTTTCAGATTTGACACCACTGTTTTCACTTTATCCATTTGGCTGATTATCAGAAATCCTCCGAAGAGCAAATTGCTAAGCTGCAGAAGCTTCATGAGACAGAGCTGGCCAGCAAAGAGCAGGAGCTGACCAGGAAGTTAGAAGCTCGAGAGAAGGAGTTTCAGGAGCAGATCAGAGCAGCTCTGGTGAGTACTTCCTTTCTTTCAGTCACAGGTAAACTCTGTGGTATAAAGTTAAGAAAGTTGTCATCTTCTCGTTTTTTGCCTCTAAACTGGGGCTTTGAACCAGTTCCTTCTGGTTCAGCTCTCTGCTGACAGTTTGCTTGTTGTCTACCCAGATGTACTGAATCAGAATGTATGTGTCAGTAAGGTTCCCAGGTGATTCTTAAAGATCCCTTGGTGACTATGAAGAACCCCAGGGATCTTGGTAAAATAGAAACTCTTGATTCAGTGTATCTGGGATGGCAGTACAAACTCTCAGCAGAGAACTGGACGGGAATGAACTACTTCTGACCTCCTAGGTTAAGGTTGTTCCATGGTGGTCTTGACCTTTGAGAATGCACCGGAAATAGGAAGTAGTCAGGAAAGAGGCCCCCACAGCTTGCTATCTTGGGTTTATGAGAAAATGAAATGTTTTGATCATCAACCTTTAGTTAATCCATTTGTTTAGTGATCGGCTGAAGATGTTGTTGTTACGTGCCATTAAGTTGCCTGCGATTCATTGCTCTAAACCCTGCTCTATCCTGTGCCAATCTTATTGTATCCGACACACTTACCCCATTTCCCCAGTGACTGAACCATTCTGTCTCATTAAGGGACTTCTTCTCCTGAGCTGACCCTCCACCCTCCCAAGCATGATGACTGGTCCCACCTTAAAATATGTCCAGAGTATGTCAGATGAAGCTTTGGAATTATTGCCACCCAGGAGCAGCCTGGTCTCACCCTCTCTAGGATGAACTTGTTTGTTCTCCCAGCAGTCCATGATCTATTCAATACCCTTCCCCAATGCCACAGCTCAAAGGCAATACTTCTCCTTCTATCATCCCTAGTCACTGTCCAGCTCTCCAGCGCATAGCAAGTGATTGCAAAGACAATGTCCTGCTGAAGGTGGGCTGTTTGAAACTACTACATAATTCAAGAAGTCTGAACCTTTTCCGGACTCACTGTACCCAGAGCTCAAAAATTCGTTTTCTCTGAAAGGCGTTTTAATGAAGAAAAAAAATGAAAATGACCAGTAGTTAACACTTTAAGTAGCATAATCAAATGATACACAACAGAGGTGACCCTGTCCTACCCTGTGTCATCGACATCATCTCTAACATACTCGAGTCCATTGCTGCAGTTACTGTGTCCATTAGTCCATCTGGTTGAGGGTCTTCCTACTTTTTCATTTAAAAAAAAAAGGTTGTGTTGACTTTTCACCAGTCAGTATATTCACAAGTGATCTTGCAAGTTTTTTAATTTATATTTTCATGTTTGGTTCGTTATTGTAATGAAGTATTCCTAAAATTTATATAAGCTGATAGACCTAGAACTGAAATAACTTGCAAGGGATTGTGGAACCCTTCACGTTCAGTAGTGCTTTGCAAAAAACCTGCAAGTAATAGAGAAATAACAGAAAAAATTAGTAGGGCTCCTAGAGCAAAATATTTTCTATATATAATAATTGTTGCAAAGATTGGCCAGTCCACACTGCGAAAGTCCCAGTGCTCGGTTCTGCAGACTAGAGCGGGAGGGGAGAGAGGTGACAATGCTGTCTTCTCACAGAGCCAGTGTGCGGAGTGAGTCATTCCTGCGAAGTGCCGTGGAACGCTGACGACCTCTGTGGGTCTAAGACGTTATGGTTGTTTTTGGCACAGGAAAAGAGTCAGTCAGAATATTTGAAGATCACCCAAGAAAAAGAACAGCAAGAATCTTTGGCCCTGGAAGAGCTCGAGTTGCAGAAAAAAGCAATTCTCACAGAGAGTGAAAATAAACTTCGGGACCTTCAGCAAGAAGCAGAGACTTACAGAACTGTAAGTTTCTAGAGTTTTGAAATCATTTGAGTATGAAAACTGTTGGTGCTTCTGCAGTGGATAAAAAGTTAAAGAGAAGCTCTTGGGTTTCTAGTGTAGATTTGTGTGTGCACGCACGTTAGCAGGAGTTATTCGGGGAAGGTCGGCGCTGTGGTGGCATAGTGCATTATGTGTTGGGCTCCTACCCCAGAGGCTGCTGATTGACAACCCTGAGGGGGCAAGGCTGACAGGCTGCTCCTGTGATGACGTCCAGCCTCGGCAGCCTGATTGGACGATCGTTAGGGGTCAGACTCAGCGATGTGACTGGGGTTTGTATTCACAGGGCGTGGGCTCTGGGCTCTCTGTTCAGTACCTGGTGATCCTGGTTCTGCCTTTGTTGTTAGATGTACTCAGCTCATTTCCAGCTCAACAGCCCGGTGTACAACAGAAAGAATCGCCGTCCAGTCACCCTTACAGTCGGTGCTGGGCTGGAGTCCGTGCAGTCAGTGCATCTCGTCTGAGGGGCCTTCTCTTTTTCAGGGACCCCGACTTTACTGAGCATGATGTCTTTCTTTCACTTCCTGATGATACTGTGCCCAAAGTATGTGAGACACTGGCTGTGCTTCCATTCAGTAGTCCCCTGCGGCATCCCCAAGCCACTGCACGCGCCTCACCTCCCAGGAGGGGCCTCGCTCCTCGGCTGCACGGTGGCGGGGGCCGCACGGTGATGCTTTCCTTCCTGCCCCGCCTCATATCGTGCCATGTCTTAAACATAATTCTGTGTCTGCTAATAATTCATTTTATCTGTATTAATGCCTACATTTAATTGTTTTCCAATATTTGGATAGGAAACATTGTCTTCTTCTGAATATATCTAGGCATGTGACTCAGTGTGCACATTTTAAGGCTCTCTCTGTCTTTGCCAATCAGCAGTATTTGTGATCAATTTCTGTTTTGAATAAACCTACTGATGTTATTGAAACCTTTTTTTTTTAGTTGTTGAGATATAGACACAATAAAATATATACTAATCCGGAGCTCTGGTGGCCTGGTGGGGGAAGCTGTGCTGCAGTCCTGGGGGCGTGTGGTCCGGGGCCACCGGTTACCCTGTGGGAGAGGGATGGGCGGTCTCCTCCCGTGCAATTGCTGCCCGTCAGAGGGTCAGCTTTGGGGCAGTTCCGACTCTACAGCACACAACAACAACAGGATGATTAAAAGAAATAAAAATGAAATGTTACAAAACTATTGTTAAAAAATATGTATATACTAATCCAGCAATTTCTGCATGTACCATTACAGTTTTCAGGTTATGTGGTCATTCTTGGCCTCCTTTTCTGAGTTGTACCTCTCACATTAACAAGCTGTCATCTAAAGCTTCACGTTACTGCTATCAGTTTGATCCCATGTAGAGAATTCTTCAAAGAGTCTAAAAATGCTCAAGGTAGCCTTTTATTTGACAAGTTTGTTAAGATGACTTCAGGAGATATTTTTGGTTCGGAGTTAAAGATTATCTCAGGACAATCGTTTTAAGAATTTGTCCAACCATCTTGGGTCCGGAAAGTATGGAGTCTATGAAAATTGGAAATTTGTTCTTCTTTCCCTCCTTTGTGATTGGGACTCTTCTGTGAGGTAGTTTAATCAGAATGTTCAGTAATAGTTGTGGGGCACCATTCAGTTCTTTTGATCTAGCGGCGAAGGCGGCAGTGGTTCACAGAGGCAATTCCTAGCACATACAGTGGCCTCTTTCTGTTCCTGAGGCTCCTTCCTCTGTTGCTGTGGGTGTAAAGATACCAGCTGTGCCTTGGATGGCTGGTCGCAAGCTTTTAGACCCCAGGGTTGCTCAGCAAACTAGGAACCAGGACAGAAGCGCTAAACTTGCTCTTTGCCGAATTAGCAGGATGTCCCTTACAGCCAGGCCCTCGACTGTCCAAATCAGCAGACTAAGTCCCATGGAGTCTGTGGTTGTGAGCAACCTCAGCAGTTAAAACTTTGTTTTTTTGTTTGTTGTTATTGTAATATATCAGTCATACAGCTTCTACTAGTTGAGCTTTTTTAAAATCTTTTTTGCCCAAAGTTAACAGTCATGCATATTAATGTTTCTAAACTCTGCTTTATTTTCCTATTTCTAAATTACAAAAGGTGGAAGTGGTAAAAGGCAAGTCGTGCTTAGAAGGCCTGGTTTACCTATTTGCTGGCTTCCTAAATTACTGATTCTTCACTTGTCACATGAAGAGATTGGGAGTGGTAATTTCCAGGACTTCCACTTACTGTATTTTAAAACTTGACTCTTTAAAGCAGCTTTACGTTTACAGGAAAGTTTTGCAGAAAGAGTAGAGAGCTTTCCTATACTCCTGCTTAGCTGCACATCATTTCTGCTGTTAATATTTTGCATTCCTGAGGTGCATTTGCTATCACTGAAGAACCAATATAGATACAGTGACTGACAAAAACCCATCATTTACATTAGGGCTTACTTTTAAAAAAAATTTTATATTGGTTTACTTACAAGGTTCGTATACATGGTGTTTCCTACTATTCTTCTTTCACACTGTGTTTCGTAGTCACTCCCATTTGGGTTGACTTTTTGTGTTGCCAGATCCTCTGGGTGTGAACAGTGCCATGGATCCAGCACTGTGGTGTTGTGTGAAATAGTCTCACAGCTCTGGAAGCGCCCCGGCTCCGTTTATTCGTCCCTCGTGCCTCTCCCTTGGCCCCTAGGAAACTAGTCATCTTTTCACTGACCCACAGTCCTTCCAGCTTCAACATTTAATGGCCCTGCCTGACTTAACATTTCGGCTTTCAGAGTCAGGATTAATATTTTGTGAACTGATAGGAATCTTTGGTTAAATGTGATTAAAATGTTTTCCTTCTGTAAAAAAAGTCTTCAAAGTAATAATTTTAGAGGTGAGGGAAATCAGATGCTTTTTTTCCCCTTCCCTTCCAAAATTATGAAAGCAATGGAATACTATTGTAGGCTTTTTTTAAAAAAAAAAATTCTTCCCACCAATATTAAAGGAGCCCAAGTGGTACACTGGCGAGGTGTGCATCTGCCAATGAAAAGACTGACAGTTTAAACCCACCAGTGATTCTAAGGAAGCAAAGACTAGTATAAGTTTAGCATCATGGAAAACTGTGAGGTAGTGTTATTCAGTTATGTAAGATCTATATGAGTTGGAAGCACATTGGTGACACACAACCAACAGTTAGTATTACTTAGTTGATGATTCCTTTCTTTTTGACTGTCCATGTAGAATATTCATAAAATTGTGTTAATTGAAATAATGGTCCAAATATGTGGAAACAATGAAATTACAAGTTGGGTACCTTTCATTCCATTGCTGTGTGATTCCTTCGTAACTTCTAACACAAAAGAATTTTCGTCCTTGCTCATGTTCAGTGTGCTACATACAGTTAGTTGTCTGAATTTTAATCTTTAAAGGTGGTAGACATTGTGTCATATCATTGCTAATAAACAAGTACGTACTTTAATAGTAATATATTTGTTTTTTTTATTAACAGAGAATTCTTGAATTGGAGAGTTCTTTGGAAAAAAGCTTACAAGAAGGCAAAAATCAATCAGAAGATTTAGCTGTCCATTTGGAAGCTGAAAAAAATAAGCACAATAAAGAAATCACAGTCATGGTTGAGAAACACAAGGCAGAACTGGAAAGTCAGCAGCAGCAGCAGGAAAACCTTTGGAGTGAAAAACTGCAAGCCCTAAAGCAGGAGCATCAAACAGAAATGGAAAAACTTAGGGAAAAGTATGAACAAGAAAAGGAAACATTGTTGAAAGACAAAGAGAGCCTCTTCCAGGCCCACATAGAAGAGATGAATGAAAAGACTTTAGAAAAGCTTGATGTGAAACAAACAGAACTGGAATCCTTATCTTCTGAACTGGCTGATGTGTTGAAAGCCCGTCACCAGCTAGAAGAAGAAGTCTCTGTACTAAAGGATCAGGCAGATACAATGAAGCAGGACTTAGAGTCCAAACTGGACAAACAGAGAAATCATCACCAGCAACAAGTTGACAGCATCATTAAAGAAAAAGACATATCAATCCAGAGAACTGAGAAAGCTTTAAAAGAGGAAATTAATCAACTTGGGCTTCTTCTAAAGGAAAAAGAGCAGCATTTGAAAGAGCAGCAGGCCCATGTGGATCACTTGGAGGCCGACCTGAAGAGGGCTGAAGCTGAGCTCCAGCAGGCCTCTGCGAAGCTGGATCTTTTCCAGTCGAACCAGAGGACCTCACACGAGCAGGCAGAGGCATATGAGGAGCAGTTAACTCAGCTGCAGAAAAAGGTTTTGGATTTAGAAACAGAAAGACTTCTTCTTACCAAACAGGTTGCTGAAGTTGAAACACAAAAGAAGGATGTTAGTACTGAGTTAGACGCTCATAAAATCCAGGTGCAGGACTTACTGCAACAACTTGAAAACCAGAACAGCGAAATGGAACAGAAAGTCAAGTCCATGACCCAGCTCTACGAGGCTAACCTTAAAGATTGTGACACTGAGCGGGAACAGACAAAGCAAATCCTGATGGAGAAGGAAAGTGTCATTTCCCAAATGAGAGATGGACAGAGCAAAGAAATGGAGATGCTGACACAGGAATTATCAGCCAAGGAGGACAGCATTCGGGTTTTGCGTGAGAACTATGAAACCAAACTTAAAAACCAAGAAAAAAAGATGGAAAAAGTTAAGCAGAAAGCAAAGGAGATGCAAGAAACACTAAAGAAGAAATTGTTGGATCAGGAAGCCAAACTTAAAAAAGAGCTTGAAAATACTCTTCTCGAGCTTAGTCAGAAGGAGAAACAGTTCAATGCCAAAATACTGGAAATGGCACAGGCTAACTCGACTGGAATCAGTGACGCCGTGTCGAGACTGGAAACGAACCAGAAGGAGCAAATCGAAAGCCTTACTGCGGCGCACCAGCGAGAACTCAGTGATGTCACCTTAACCTGGGAACAGAAACTCAATCAGCAAGCTGAAGAACTTCAGGAGAAACTGGAAATTCAGTTACAGGGAAAAGAAGAAGAGGTGGCAGAACTCAAACAAAAGATCCTCTTGCTTGGGTGTGAAAAAGAAGAGGCCAACAAGGAAATAGCCTGGCTCAGGGAAGAAGGAAGTAAGCAGGCGATAGTGGTAAGTGAATTACAGGAAGAGTTAAAACAGAAGTCTGCTCATTTGAATTCTCTCTCACAAAGTCAAAGTAGCCTGAAAGCCCAAGTTGAAAAGCTGGAGGTTGACCTGAACCATTCTCTGAAGGAAAAGACTTGTCTTCAAGAGCAACTCGTTGAATTCAAGACACTGGCAGAACAAGATAAGCTTAAGGCTTCTGAGTTGACTGAGAAGTTGAAGGCCACGGCTGAGGAATTGCAGAGCTTGAAATCTCTGCATGAAGAAAGTAAGAAAAGCCTAGAAGACAAAAGCTTGGAGTTCAAGAGACTGTCCGAGGAACTGGCAGTACAGCTAAATAGTTACTGTAAGAAGACAGAAGCCTTATTGCATGCTAAAACAGATGAGCTCGTGAGCATTAGTAACAGCAAAATCAATGTTATCCTCTCAAAAATTTCCCGTTTTCAACAACATACAAGTAAAGTTAAGGAATCTCTAGTAGTTCAATCTTGCAGGGTGTCTGAATTGGAAGCACAACTTAGACAGTTAACAGAAGAGCAGAATGCGCTTAAGAGTTCTTGTCAACAGGCTACTCATCACTTAGAAGAAAAAGAAAACCAGATTCAGAGCCTGAAGGCTGATATTGAGGGACTTGTAACAGAAAAAGAGGCCTTGCAGAAGGAAGGTGGCAATCAGCAACAGGCCGCCTCTGAAAAGGAGTCTTGTATCACACAACTGAGGAAAGAGTTGTCCGAAAACATCAATGCTGTCACGCTGATGAAGGAAGAGCTGAAAGAAAAAAAATCGGAGATCAACAACCTTAATAAGCAGCTATCCGATGTGAACGACCAGCTGCAGAACAGTATAAGCCTGACAGAACAAGAAGCAGCCATTTCCTCACTGAGTAAGCAGTACAAAGAGGAACAAAGAAGATTGCTGGAACAGGTGCAGGATTTATCTGTGAAGGTTGAGACTTTGAGTAAAGAGAAGCTGTCTGCTCTTGAACAGGTAGATAACTCCTCCACCAAATTCTCAGAATGGAAGAAGAAGACACAGTCGAAACTCACACAGAACCAGAATGTTACTAAAGAGCTACAGATGCAGCTGGAATTAAAAACCAGAGAGGCGAGTGAAAAGGACGAGCAGATAAATGTACTAAAGGAGAATCTTGCCCAGCAAAATAAAAGATTTGAATGTTTAAAGGGGGAAATGGAAGACAAGAAGAGTCAGATGGAGAAAAAGAAGTACAATCTAGAGACTGAGTTAAAAACTCAAACGGCAAGAATTGTGGAGTTAGAGGAACTTCTTACTCAGAAAACAGTCGAAATGGAATCCTTAAATGAAGTCCTTAAAAATTCCAATCAGCAGAAGGATATTGAACAGAAGGAGTTGTTTCAGAAACTTCAGCACATTCAAGAGTTAGGGGAAGAGAAAGACAACAGGGTTCTAGAAGCGGAAGAGAAGGTCTCAAGACTTGAAAAGCAAGTGTCTTCCATGAAATCCGAGCTCGAGACTAAGAATAAAGATTTAGAGCGTGTGAATTCCAGTTTGAAAAGCAAAGAAGAGGAATTAAAGGCACTGGGGGAGAGACTGGAATTGGAAAGTGCTTCCAAGCTGGGAGAACTGAAGAAAAAAGCTGAACAGAAAATAGCTGCCATTAAGAAACAGTTGTTATCTCAAATGGAACACAAAGAGCAGCAATATAAAAAGGACACTGAGAGCCGCCTAAGTGAGCTTAGTGCCAAATTGCAGCAAAGAGAGAAGGAAGTTCTCATTTTGGAAGAAAAACTCAACTCAATAGAAAGTTCGCAATCTGAAACCCCACTTGTACGCACCTTAGCCCAGAACGTGGCAGTCTGTGCCACGCAAGAAGTGGATGAAGAGAAAAGGAGCGTTTTACAAAGGAATTTCTCTGAAAAAGAAAAACTGTTAGAGAAGCTAGAGCAGGAAAAACAAGAAGCTGTGTCTTCTCATTCTGAAATGCAGTGCAAACACCAGGAGCTCTTAATAAAACTAGAACAGGCTGAAAAGCAGCAACATGAAGATAAAGCTCTGATAGAGCAGCTTAAGGAAGAACTTGAAACAAAAACCAGGAACTGTTCCTTGATAGAATCCCAGCCTGTGGAAGGAGATGAGGAAAAATCCATGGAGGCAAAGCACAGATTGGAAAATGAGGTTGGCGATGTCCAGCAGGGTCTCCGGGAGAAGGAACTGGCCTGTCAGGTGCTGGAGCAGAAGCTGCAAGAGCTGGAGTCCTGCCTAGTGAGAGAGCAGGAGGTCCATCGAGCTGAGATGCAAGCGCTGACCTCAAAATACAACAAATTACAGGCCTTACAGCAGCAGGCGGGTGGAATCAAGAATCCCACAGGCGTTCTGGAGGAAAGTGTGGCAAACAAGTCAGAAGCAGACGACGTCCCGCCCGAATTGCTCAAGACGGAGGCCCAGCACCACGACCTGGAATTGAAGTTAGCAGGGGCTGAGAAGGAGAAGCAGAGACTGGGCAAGGAGGTCACGAAATTGCAGAAGGACCTTCGGATGCTGCGGAAGGAGCATCAGCAGGAGCTGGAGATTGTAAAGAAAGAGTGCGAACAGGAAATGCAAGAGAAAATCAAGTAAGTTGTCTTTCAGCGGGAATATTTTTAAGGAGATCCTTTTCAATGAAATGAAGCACTTGCACCCTCCTCCTTCTCCCCCTTCCTCAGTAGGTTTGGGTTTTTTTATTTGTTTTTTATTAATTTTAATGAAAGTTTACACACTTAGGGTTTCCAGTCATTCATTGTTGCACTTTTCTCCCTGCCCATCCCCTCCCTGCAATTCATTCTTCTTGAAAAAAAAAAAAAAAAACTCTTTCATTGTTAAACAGTCCCTCCTCCCAAGTCCACCCCACTATGCAGCCTTCACTCTAGACTTTTGTAATGACGAGAATACCCATTCGTATGTCCCTTTTAAACAGTTCTCTTCTGCATTTGTTTCAATGCAGTATACATCATTCCTCCCCTCTTTTTCTGTCTTTCCTCAACCCTGATGTCAGTCCCGTTTTACAACAGTGGCCCTATGCAATATTTGTCCTTTTGTGACTGAGATATTTCACTCAGCATAATGTCCTCCAGGGTCCCCCATTTTGAATAATATTTCAAGAGTTCCTTGTTTTTCAATTCCGCGTAGTATTCCATTGTGTGAATATACCAGAGCTGCTCTATCCATTCGTTTGTTGATGGGCACTTGGGTTGTTCCCGGCTCTTTGCTATTGTGAACAAAGTATTAATAAACATGGGTTGCAATAGGTTTGTTTTAAGCACTGTTTGCTCAATTTTACCCAATAGAAAATGTTATTCCCTGACCATGGTTAGTGGTACTAATAGATGCGTAGAGTGGAAAGTTTAAAGTGGAAAAGTCCACCAATCTCCAAATCCACTGCCTAGAAAGAATTGCAGTTGATACAGTTTCTGTTTCCAGTGCACACATAAATGCCCTTAAAATGGTTTTAATACTAGAAATTCCACTGTTGTTGAATCCATTCCAGCTGACAGCGACCCTCCATCAGGCTTGCAGAGTAGAAATCTGACCAGGAGGCCAGTGACCATCTTTCTCCTGGGAAGCAGCTAGTTGAACCACCAGCCTTACAGTTCACTTTCCAGCACATTGCACACCAACGCCCCCAGAATTCAAACTGCATTGACTGTTTTGAAGACGAACTCCCTGTTTGCGTCTTGACATTTGTCTGGCAACACTTAACTCTCCATTTCTGCTACTCAGACAGGAGCAAGAAGATCTCGAGTTGAAACATAATTCTAAGTTAAAACAGCTGATGAGAGAGTTTAATACACAGCTCGCCCAGAAGGAGCAGGAGCTGGAAGCCACCATCAAAGAAACCATCAGTGAGTAAGCGTTTAAAATGAGTAAAGAACAAGTGGGATCAGCAGGGCCTGCTTAGAATGTCAACTTACTCTTTTCACGCTTGTGCTCAGTGCGCAAAGTAATTAAGCTCAGAGGGAAAGACGATTACTTGCTCTTAAGAAATTTCTCTTGTGAGAGCTTGTGCTGCCTGCCGATGACTCACCTCAAAGGGAAAAGCAAGTTCAAGAAACTGTACACATCAGTGAGTTACCTTGTAGAGACTTCTGCTCAGTGAGGATGGCTTGACCCCCAATGGCCTCAGGATGCTGGTATCACATGGACTTTTAGAGAAGTTAATGTGGAGTTGGCGCGGAAGTTAAGGTACAGTTGATGCTTGTCTGCATGTTCACTCATGTGTGTGCATTTGCACTCTTCTTAGGTAAGGCCCAGGAGGTGGAGGCGGAACTGCTGGAGAACCATCAGGAAGAGACAAGTCAGTTACACAGAAGGATTGCCGAGAAAGAAGACGACCTGAGAAGAACAGCCAAAAGATACGAAGAAATCCTCGATGTACCTTATCTCCTTCCTGGGGTTTTGTTGTTTGGGGTTTTTTTTTTAAGCTTAGTGGTAATAGAGCGAGCTCTGTTAGCCTAGTGAGTGGAAAATGATGCTACCAAGCCAAAGGTGGGTGATTTTAATGTGTGGCCCTCACGCCTGGTTTTAATTATTTTTGGTCAAACATTCTTCTAAGTGGTGCAGCACTGGTCTGTCTGTTTGCTGTATGGAGGTAACTTGTGGTTGCTGTGATGCTGAACACTGATGTGTCACATGTGATAATGGTTACCTATATTGGACAGCGTTTGGTGGAGCTCCTCGATAAAAACAAGCTTGGAAGCAGGAGTGGCATCCACTTCCAAAATAGCTTGCCTTCGGTTCCCTATGAACTTGGAGAGAGGATGAAAGTTATGCAACTGTTCAGGTGTTTTCATTCATAGGGTCGCTGTGAGTCATCTGCAACTCGACGGCACTTAACAACAAGATTTCTATTCAGGTGTTCATCAGCTTTTATGGCTCCAAAAAGTTCGAATATTTGAGATTTAAGATTCTGTTCTGCCTGTTCCCTTGTTTGATCAGGATTCTTTTACAGAATCTTTGATCAGATCATCCAGCAGTGGTAGCCAGATTTTGTGCAGCCCTCTAGCCTTGTGGAGAGAAAGTAGTTGTTCCTGGAGCCAATTCCACTTCCCCCATTTCTGTTTCCTTCTTTATTTTCTGACTCTTCTTCCTCTATTGCTCTAGTTCATAAAAACCAATTGCTATGCCCTGGACATCAGGCATGTGTCCACACATGCCTACAAATGTATCCTTTCAAAAGACGTGTGAGACACCAGGCACTGTGGCATGAACTAGGAAATAGACCAGAAGCATCAAACACATTCATAGGCCATTTAGCTTGCATGTCCAGTGAGGTGTTTGGTGGTACTTAAGCAGCCTCCATCCTTTGTATAAGTTTGGAGTCTTCATTCTTCATTATGAAAAGGAAAATGTAAATAATTTTAATGAAATTTATATCCGTTTCTATTTCTTTTTTAAAATTTATGTCATTTCTTTATTAATTTATTATAAAAGCATATTTAAATTATTTCAAACTCTGCAAAAATATTAGAACATTCTAAACCATATATGCTGTATTGAATAGAAAAGTATAGCAGTTGGTAATACAGAGAAGGACTTCTCTGAAAACAAAAGAGCAAAACTGGATGATTAATTTTCAAAGAACTTAATTTCTGACGAATCTGACAAAATGGTATTGATAAGGTGTCATGTCATTATCAAGCCTCTTTATGATCACATGACTCCCTAAGAACTCATCCGTTTTATAGCAGTTTTAGTTTTTAGTTTCTGTTTCTTGTGTTTACATATCGTGTATGTGTTCTAGGAGTGCTGTTGGCACACTGTATTAACGTACTATGTGCCAACCAGGGTTCAGCAGTTCCAGTCTACCAGTTAGTCCTTGGAGAAGAAATTTCCTCCCATAAAGATTTGCAGCTTCAGAAATATGATGGAGTCAAAACTGACTCTGGCCATCCCACTGCAGTGCCTCTGGGTATATATGTCCCAAGTTATTAATAAATGTTTTATTTCCTTTATCAGAATACTGTAATTGGAAGCTACGTCAGAGCTGATGTAGGCCCACCTTTAACAAGGGAAGCAAAGTTTGCTCACACTCACGCCCTCTGCCATGGAGTTTATTCAAGCTCTTAACAGCCCTGCATCAGATTTCTGAGGGAAGGAGCCAACCTGCTTCTCCCGCGGAGGAGCTGATGGATTCAGATTTTTGTTTAGGAGCCCAATTCATGATACACTAAACCGCCAGGCCTCTTCAAGTTTAGTACAGCTAATTTTCCCAAAGCTGCATAATAGTGACGCAAATGTGAGCCACTTAAGTAATTTTAAAAATTCTAGTAGAATTTATGAGTAGTATTTTATTTAGTATTTGAATTTTTATTATTTTATTCTAGTAGTGTTGTTGATTGCCTTCGAGTCGAGCACAACTCATAGTGACCATATGAACAAAGGGCCTGACGCCTTTTGATAACTATTGACATTTATCAAAGTTCATAGAGTTTCCGGAGGTGTGTTGTTTAGGAAGTGGATGCCAAGTATGTCTAGTATTATTTTATCTAGGAGAACGTAAATTTTAATACCTTTTCCTTAATGTATATATCCAAAATATCATTTCAACATGGAATCATTATAAAATTATTAAGATATTTGTACCTATTTATATATCATGCCACTGAGTCAGAACCAACTCACATAGCTGGCCCTCCAGTTGGTTTTCAGGGGCCGTAAATCACAAGGGAAGAGATTGGCCCTCTCTCTCCTGTGGATTCAAACCGCCTGCCTTGGGTTGGGAATGCACACTCCCTTACCACTAGGCCACCAGAGCTCCCTTTATGTATATATATGTGTATTCTATATACTATGTTGTTGTGTAATCATATATACTTTTAAAAGAATTGTATTTTTATACCTAATTTTTATATATCATACATATGTATTATATGTAATATTAAAAATACACATTTTTTTAAATACACATTTTATATGTAAAATATCTGTGGATATTCAGATATTACAGATTGTGGTCAGGCAGGTCGGGGTCCATAACCGGTTTGTGGTCATTTTTCCTCTTAAGTCTCTTATTCAGCAAGCACTCTACTGAGATTTGATCAATAATTCCAATTCCAAATGTTCCTTTTGGCAAAGATTATTGCGAAATTCAGGAGTCTGAATGGCACTGTGTAATAAATCATGGAAGTTCCCAAGACAAAGGGCTGAGACTCTATGGGTGAGCAGTGGCGTGTCGCCAGGGAAGTCCAGACAACACCGCGTGCGCCAGATTTTATAAGTGGAATAACTAGGCCAATAATTCACACGCTGCATTTTCTAATGCATTCTTGTCTGTTTTCCTGAAGTTCAAGGCAAGTGGAGAAAGTATAGTGGCTATTGAATGCAGTGCATAGTGCCGGATGTTCAGGAGAGCTGCGGGTTTGCTGAACCCGGGCTAAGAGCCTTCCACTGGTTTACACAGCTCCAAGTGGACACAAAGGATTTCTGTTTTCCCTTAATCGAGAAATTGCCAACTGGTTTGACAATTTGTATTATTTATATTTAGTGATGAATAGTTTTGGAAATGAAATTTCAGAATAAAAAAGATCAGTCCTTAAATGCAGGCGGTGCACCATCCGCTTTTATTATGACAGTAGTGTATATCTAATGGCTGCTTAAGCCTGGAACCTTATTTTGAAGGGAAAGAAATGGTGTGATTAGTTCCGTAGGGCGGGCCAGAAAGAGTAAGTGTGGGAGAAGCGAAATCCTAGGAGTAGTGTACAACATTAAAAAAAAGGATAAAATTGTGGAATGAAAGTTTCTAGAGCACAATACTGAATTAAAATTAAAGCAATAAAAGCTTACCGCTCTTATTTCTCCGGTAGAGGTAGTTTTATCTGTACCATGTTGCAGTATTGTACCTTTCTGCGGTATTGTTTTATAAGTGTTTATTAACATGTTACCTTTCTGCCTTTAATTTAAAGGCCCGTGAAGAAGAAATGACTGCGAAAGTTCTGGACTTACAGACTCAGCTTGAGGAACTGCAGAAGGCGCATCAGCAAAGGCAGCAGGAGAGCCCTGGCGAGGATAACGTGAGAGGACCTGGAGTTTGAATCATATGTTTCTTAGAAACACTCATTTTCATGATTTGACTCATCTGCTAGCATGCGTCTTTTAATCCTAGGAAAAACCCTGCAATAGAGAGGTTCATGCTTTTATCTTATAGACATTGAGCTTAAGGTTCAAAGATGTTAAGACATTAAATAGTCGAAATAAATATTGCAGGGAGAGATCAAACCTAGTCTGAAGACCTCACCGCCCGGACATTTCATGTTGGACCATTTCTTCTCAGTCCTCTCCACAGACGAGCAGAGAAGCGGGAACCTCACAGTATGAAGGCATAGTCAGAAGGGCTCCCTAGCAAGTGTAGTTTTAGAATTTTCTCTTTTGTCTTAAATATTCGTGTACATTTTAAATTCTATTTTAGGACACATTACTCTATAACCCTCTCAACTCATTACCAATGAGTTGGAACCAACTTAAAAAATGACCCTCTAGGAGGTTTTCAGAGACTGGAAATTGCATGGGAAGCAGTGGCCCATCTTTTTCCCGAGGAGCCACTGGTGGATTTGTTCCACGTTTGTGTTACCTGCTCCACTCCCCATGGACTGCTCCACCACATCTCCCTTCTCTGACTTAATGGTGTTTTATCATAAAGAAAACCATAACTCACTACCTTTCTGCTTGGTTAATGTACCAAATGCAGTTGTATTGTAGTAATTTTAGAGCATTGGGTTGAATGAAGTGGATTAATGCTACATGTCGAGGAGTTTTTATAATCCCAGTCTTCATGTCTAATTGACTCTGGGCCCCATGGCTTCCTCTTCTAGACATGGATCCAGTGTTCCAGCTGGCGTTTTACCATCTGCTTCCTCAGATGTTTATATTCCCGCAGTCTAGTTTCTTCCTAGCACTGTCATGGAAATCTCAGGGTTGGCGGGTCCTGCTCTTGGCTTCATCCTCAAGAGTTACTCTAGTAACTATGCTGTCAAGTCGGAACTGACTTGTTGCCGACACTTGAGTGGGTTTTCAGAGCAGCAGATCACATGGGCGGAGACTATTCCTCCTTCTCCCGTGGAGCTGCTGGTGGATTTGAACTGTGTGCCTTTGGGATTGCAGCACAGCTTCTTAACCACTAGGCCACCAGAGCTCCTTAAGTGTCATTTTAGAGGGTTCATCACAGAAGGACAGTTATTCAATAGCAACTTTCTTGATTACCAATCGTATAAATCACTTGTGTGTCATTTCATACATATCCCTCATTTGTGAGCATTAAAGCGATATGAATTATTTTGAAAATGGGTATTAATTTGGTGATGTCTTGAATAAACTGCTATTAAGTCTTGCTTTCTGTGAGAAAAGTGCCAACTCATAGCAGCCCTGAAGGACATAGTGGAGCAGCTCTACCGGGTTTTAAAGCCTGTGATCCTTTATGGACGTAGACTGCCGTTTCATTCTCCCATTGTGTGGCTGTGTGTTTGAACTGCTGACCATTCAGTTATCAGCTGAGCTTTTAACCACTGTGCCACCAGGGCTCTGTGAGTTGGAATCAACTTGACAGCATTGAGCTTAATGAGAATACATTTCATTTACTGTCCAAACTATTCTTTAGTATCCAAATAAATATGAATATTGCATACAATGGCATTTTGGCCTATATCAGGATGCTGTACAGTATTTGAAACATAAAATAAAAATTCAGTATATTTTCTGAACCCTTTTGCTTAACTACATCATAAGAAAGTAGGGACATTAACCTTAGTTTTTATTTGTATTCTAAGAAATAATTGCATATTTTATTCTTCATAAATTTCTGTTCCCTTCTTCTTGAACGTCTTTTGATACACCTAGAATACCTTGAACTGCGTATCTGTTGGGTTCCGTGAACAAGAATATGTGATTATAGCTCAATGTGGAGTCCTCGAAATAGAACTTTAGAAATTCTTAAAAGGAACACATGCTTTACATAGATGTTAATATGTTTAATTTTCAGAAGTTAAGCACAAATAATGCACAGATATATTCTTCTTCTTGAAGAGTCAGATAATAAAGACAAAACCATGAAAATTTCCTTGACTTCCTCTTCCCAAGTGGTACTCATTGTTGGAAGTTTGTTGAAAATCTTTTAGTATTTTTCTTTTCCTTCACCCATTTTTATGTGCTATTAGACTATGAAATTGTGTACCTTATTGCAAGTTTGGCCATTTCCCTTACAACTATAACTGTGACTTCTTCTTTGTGATTTCATATCACTCCACTTTATTATTTGTTTACTGGTGGGTTTTACTCTAGACACTGATTTTCTCTTACCTCATTTGCAGGTAACGATTATGGAACTCCAGGTAAGACTGGTTCTTTACTTAATTTGATTGAAGATAGAGTATTCTGTGTTTTAACTTAAATATAAATTGACTCTTCCAACAAACAAAAAATGCCCAAGCAGAACAGATGCGTCTAGGCTGTGACGAAACCCAGGTACATTTTAGATCTGACCTTTTTTTTTCTTTCAGACACAATTAGCACAGAAGACTACTCTTATCAGTGACTCGAAGTTGAAAGAGCAGGAGTTCAAAGAACAGGTACATTTCAAATCCAAAGAGAGTAGAGGATATCTCCACTTCTTGATCCATGGCTGTAGGTTTGACTTTCATAATGACTCTTGGTGACATCTTTCCATATGCTTGTTGTTCATTTGTGTGTCTTCTTTGGGGTAGCGAGTCAAGTCTGATTGCCTGCTTTTTAATTGGATTGTTGGCCTTTTCGTGGTTAAGTTTTAAGAGCTCTTTATATGTTTGGATACTTGACCCTTTTCAAAATATGGCATTTACAGATACAGTCTCCCGTTTTGTGGGTGTCCTTCTCTTGACAGTGTTCTTTCCACACATTTTTAAATGTGATTTCCAATTACACACACACACACACACTTTGCCTGCTTGTGCTTTGGGGGTCAAAGCCGAGACACGACGTGCATTCGTCTTGTTCTCCACTGCTCCGTCACAGGCATTGACAGCACCCGTGCCTGCGACACTCTTTCTTCCCTGCATGTGGTTTCCATATGAATCTTGTAACGTTGCTTGAATATTTGGGGTGGGTTTTTTTTTCAGATCCACAATTTACAAGACCGTTTAAAGAAATATGAGAAGAATGTCTATGCAACAGCTGTGGGGACACCTTATAGAGGTAAGCGCTTTTTTCTCAAGGTGTTTGTGGTCATCTCTTAGTGGATATTTGAATCATTTTCTTTTTCCTTGCTAACCCTTTTTGTTAACCTACATTTTTAAAAAGGAATATGTTTTAACCTCCTTTGCCGTGAACAAGAACAATGAATTTTGGTGAAAGAATGTTATTAATCTAAAGCAAAGTATACAATACGTATTTTCAATAAATGTAAAAAAATGAAGCCAGCAGAGCTGTTGTGGCTGAGAACTGCACATTCTCACGTCTTTTGTCCATTCTCCACGTGGATGCAGTCAGCAGTTTGTATGTATTTACCAGGTTCCTTTTTGTATATACGCACATGTGCTTATGTAATCTTGGGTATGCATTCTGACACACATGGAGATAATGTATGTTTATGATGTTTTCTGATTTTTTAGTATTACAGTATTGCTGTAATGGCTAATTTATTTAAAACCAATTTATGTTGACTTTTTGTTACTGTTACTAATATACACAGTGATACTAATTTCATTCCTTGAGTTATACAACCATTCTCCTTCTCTGAGTTATTCCTCTTTTATTAACAGAAACTCACTGCCTCCACTCTAGTCTTTGGAGCTGTTGTTGCTTTGAACCCATATATATGCATAGTTGTTAAAAGAACATAAGGTTCAAGGCCAACATTCTGTGCTAGTTTGTCTATGAAGTTATGAATAGTAAGTCAAGGATTTAAGAAGAAATATCATGCAATTCATTTATTCAGGGTAGAGAGAAATGAATGAAACTATTTTTATCTTGATTGAAAGAACATAATGCCACTTAAAAGACGAGTTGAGTTCACCACCTCGTTGCATTAAGAGTCCTTTTATTTCATTAAGTGTTTTATAGTGCTGCTTGCTTTCTCATGGGCTTCCCTAGGGCATCAGTCAAAGCCATTCAGCCTGATTTTGTGTTTTTAAAAGCTCTTACTTATTCTAAGAAACAATTTAAGATCTATAGAAAATCTAATTATAATAATAAAGAGATTGCTTGGAATTCTTTCCAAACCTCTCATTAAAAAAGAAGAGAATACCAACCTGGAGGTTTCCCATATCACACTGCAAAGAAGACCTGCTACTCGGGCCATTTCCTACAGCTGCATCCACTGATATTCCCCGCGAGTCATTGTGCTTGGTCAGGGCCCACCAGCGCAGAATAGCACAGATTCTTTCTGTTAGCTTCAACCTAAGGATTTCCTGCATCATTTCCTTCCCTACTTCCCCAATGTTAAATTGAAATGAAATTAAAATTAAAATAAGCCTGTATGTATAGTTTATTTCCTAGCTAACATGTTTTAAGCAGATTTTGTGTATCCGTTTCTTTAGCTCTCCCAGCAGCCTGATTTCATATATACACACCAGTCCCTTAGCTAGGCTGCTGTTTATAGAGTGAGGGTGAAATGAACATCTGAATACCAGCCATACTTGTTACGAAACAAAACGTGTCCGCTTTCACAGGAGGAAATTTTTCCTTCCTCTCATACTTTCTTTCTGGGTTTTGATGTTTTGCTTTTTCCTCTGAGTGTGTGCTAATAATTCTCTTGTGCTTTTTGTCATTCACCACTTGTGCTCATAGTTTTTTAAGGATCTGTCCTGAGACCTATACAGTCTGTACATTGCTCAGTTTGTCTGTGTCTGTCTGCTATGATACCTCGCCTTCTTATCTTAGGGTTCTTGTGAGAAGCTGAACCTCTGTGTGTATACACACAGATAGTAAGCAACATTTCTGTCAACAAATTGGCTCAAGTGCTTAAAAGATCAAGTCCAAAATCTGTAGGTTCAACATCAGTACTTCTTCCTAATTATATTAAGATTAATAATTATTAACATTCTTACTATTAAGACTTCTTCCTAATATCAAGACTTTGTAAAAGCAAGGCTTTGCCCTTAAGATCTATAGATGAGGTGTCAGCGTGTGGAATAAAGAGACAATAATTTCTGCCAAAATATGCCTTTGGAGGCAAGAATGCATCCCAAGGAAACTCTGTCTTCAACTGGTTGATTAATTGATTGGACTGCATTATGGAACAGTAGGTATAATCATGATTAGCCAAAGCCGTAGAAACCATAACCTGGCCAAGTTGATGCATAACATTAATCATCCCACTTTGATTTATGACTTTATAAGAATTTTATATCTCTTCTTATGAAGAGGTAAGGGAGAAGTTCTCTTATTTTGTGGAGGTTTTTTTTGCTTTCTTTTTTTCCAAGAATAGTTTTCTTTTTCTTAGTTCTTTGAAAGTCTATATAAATTTTTTTTATAGAGTCAGCCTGTTAAGTTACACACCTACACTCACATGAGGGATAATGTTTTTATTAAGATTACAGTGAATTTATAGAAAAATCTCAGGGAATTTTTATGTAGTATCAAGTCTACAGTGTCTAAGTGTAATATATTTCAGTATTTACTTAGGTCTTTCAGAATTTCCGCCAGTCATATGTATTGTCCAGAATGGTCCCCTTGCCGCTTTCTTTACATTTATTCTTGGATGTGGCTAGAACCAGAAAAATTGTTGCTTGTTTTTATTTTCTAATTCAGTCTATTTCTAAAAGACATTCTTAAGCATTTTTTTAAAAAACTCTGAGTAAGCCTGCTTTAACTATATAATTATAACAGACTTAATTGATTAAAATTGTGTTAAATGTAATTAAGTGGATTTTGCAGTTATACATTTTGGAATGGAGCCCAGATGAAGTAGCACATGAAAAATGCTGAATAATACCCAGAGGAAATTACATGGAAAGATTCCTTGTGAGGAGACACTGGGTAGACAATTTGGCAAGCATCTTTATTTGAACAATAGCTAATTTATACTCTTAATTGCTTAAAACCCGAAGTAAGAATTAGAAGAAGAAAGTTCTTTTATATGTTATTATGTGAGAAGGCAAGGAAAGACATATTCATTAGAAAATAATACTGTTTTTTGAGGAAAATGGTTATAAAACAAGGACATGACTTATTTTCCCAAAAATGAAAGCATTGTAAATGTTACTTAAAAAACCCTTCCAAATGTCACTTATTGTAAAAAGTGTGGAGTAGGGGGCAGTGTGGAGATGGCTAAGTCTGACCTCTACTAACTCCACAAGGGGGAACAGGCCCCATCAACAGCATCCACAACAAGCCAATTCCCATGAGGTTAGACATGCTTGCCATACTCCTGCATCTCTTTACATTCTGTCCAAAATCTATTGTGATAGCTACATAGACCTCCCAGAATCATACTCACGATTATGGAGTTTATTAGAGAAGTTAACAGGTCACAATTCAGTTAGGCAACAAGACATGATTTCTTAGGACAGTTTCTCTGTGTGTGTGCACATCCCTTCAGCCCTGCGGCTTTAGGTCGGTCTTACAAACCTCCTTTAATCCTGCCAATGAAGACATCTTTTCATCCAGCCCCTTCCTGGTCCCTGAGCAAGCTTGGATGAAGGCCCCGGCTTTGGCGCCATGAGGGAGTAGTCCCAGGCAGCTCGGTGCCACACTGGGTGTCTGGTTCTCCACTGTGGTGGCCGCGACTCTCCTGTAAGCCCTGGTCTGAGCAGCGCAGGAATTTCTGGCTCCAAAGGGTGTGTCCTCCTGATAGTGAGATTTCCGTATTTCTGCCACTAAACCTGCTCAATTTAAGCCTGGTGGAATGAATGACAAAACTAGCCAACACCCTCAGAGACTAACACACACTGTTTGCCTGTTTTTGCCCAGCCATGTGACAGAGTCAAGGGCAGTGGCTCAGGAAAGCCATTTGAACAATAGACTCCCTACACCATGCTTGGAGACTGATCCTGCTTTTCTTAAGAAAGTACTGCTTTTTACTTATTTTTTTTTATCATATTGTGACTTGAGTGTAAGTTTGTAAGTAATACTGATTCCCCCCCCATTCAGTCAGTATATGAATTTTGGTTTGTAACATTAATTACAATCAAGTAATTAGTTACAATGTCTGGTCAGCCCTGTGCTGTAGATTGCCTTTCCCTCCATCCATCTATTTAGTCATCTTTACGCCCTTCTCACTTCCTTTCCCTTCCTGGTAACCACCCCAGAATGATTCTCACTATGCATGTACACCTTTCCTTCTTAAAAATTCTCTGCTTTTAATAATAGGGATCTTATGCAATATTTGTGGTTGACTTAGTTTACTCGGTATAATTTCCTCAAGATTTATCCATATTGTGCAGATTTTCTAAAATTCCGTATTGTTTCTTAGTGCTAAATACTACTTCTTTGTGTGAATGTGTCATCGTTTTCTTTAACTGTTCATTTGAGTTGTTTCCATCTGTTCTTGTAAATAATGCTGCACAACCCTGCTTCCTGAAACTGAGGAGGACCTGAAGCACTTGCTGCAGAAGGTCAAGGACTGCAGCCTTTAATACAGATTGAAGCACAACGTCAAGAAAACAAGATTCTCACCTTGGGACCGATTGACAGCATCGTGATGATGGTGAAGAGATTGAGATTGTAAACAGCTTTAGTTTGCTTGGCTCCACAATCAACACTTTTGATATCAGCAGCCAGGAAATTAAAAGACGTATTGAGTTGGGAAAGTCTGCTGTCAGAGACCTCTCCAGAGTACTAGAGAGCAGTGCTGTCACTCTGAAGACTAAGGTGTGCCTGATAAAGGCCATGGTCTTTCCAATCTCTTGTCATGCATCAGAGAGCTAGACTAGGGGTGTTAAAAGGAGAATTGATGCCTTTAAACTGTCGTGTTGGAGAAGAGTGTTAAATACACCATAGAGTGATAAGAGAACGAACGGGTTCGTCCTAGAGAGGATTAAACCAGGCTGCTCCTTTGGAGGCAAGGATTCTGAAGCTTCATCTGACATAGTTTGGACATGTTGCAAGGAGGGACCAGTCCTTGAAGAGGAACATCATGCTTGGGAGGGTGGAGGGACAGTGCAGGAGAGGAAGATCCTTGATGAGATGGATGGATTCAGTCAGTGGGGTAATGGGGGGGGGGCGGCTAGGTGTGTCAATGACATTAAGATTGGCACAGGATGGAGCAGGGGTTAGGGCTGTTGTATATAGAGTCGCTATGAGTCACAGGCAACTGGACAGCACATAACAACAACAGACTGATATTTTTTGGAGAGGAAATAATGTATCATTTAGGCTACTTTGAACTCTGTATTGCACAGTGTGGTTTGAGTGAGTTCAGTGTTCTGAAAGCACATGTTCTCCTCAGTTACCAGCAATGTTGTCTGAAAATCAGTGGTGTGAAACAATGGGGTGACCACATAGATCCTCGGATGTCGTGTGATTACATTGCATTAGCTGCCAGATTGCATTTTATCTAATTGGCATATGTCTTTATGACTTAGCTGCCAAACTCCTCAGAGTTGTGGCCAGCTTAGCTGACACATAACCATCGGAGCCAGGTATATTTGGTGGTATGCAACCTTTCTCTTCACCCGTCTTGATGTAATTCTTATGTATTTACTAATCTTTAATCTGTTCTCCATCCATTCTCATCCTTGGTAACCATCTAAGAATGATTCTCTCTTTAATTTCTTACAGTAATTAAATTAATTACAGTAATTGCTTACAATAATTTCTTACACAAGAATTGTTTTTTGACTGACATGCCACTCAGCACCATGTCCTATAGAAGCTCCATATTATACAGTGTTTCTAAAATTCCTTGTGGTTCTTTAGTGTTGCATAATACTCCATTGTGTGAATGTGCCATAGTTTCTTTATCCATTCATCTACCAATGAACATTTGAGTTATTTCTCTCTTTTGTATAACTAATACTAACATGAGTATACATTGACCTTTTCGTGTTACAGCTCTCATTTCTTTAGGAGTGCTTTCCATTATCTGTGACTTTTGGTGATAATAAAATGTTTTCTGCAAAATATTTTAAGACTACTTTAATAGAATTCATATTTTACATTTATCTTTCCTGCATTTAAAAATAGTTTTGAAACCCTACTTTTAAGCTAAGTGACTTTAGATTTAGAAAAGTACAGGGAAATATAAGAAATGATTCTCAGATATTAAAATCTCAATAGAAATAATTATTCATTTTGTTCATTATCCAGATTGGTATTATAGAAAACCAGTCACGTAACATTTAGGAGGGAAATGCCTTGAAGAATCCTTCTCTTCTTTAATTTTGTGGTTGATTGTTGCTATAAAAACGGTGTAGTGATGGGAGCAGCAGTGCCTGACCTCTTCTAAATTCACATGGGGTGGGGGTGAGGGGAACCTCATCAACAGCCTCCAAGGCCAGTTTCTAGGAAGCAAGGCCTGGCCACCACCCTGCAAGTTCTTGCTAACAATTCTGACACCATCTGTCCTGAGGCACTCATTGCTGCCTCACAGAACACACAGACAGAACTCAAGATTATGAAGCTAATTAAGGAAGTAACAGGTTTCAGTTAAGAATCAGGAGTAATTCAGCATATAATTCTTCCTTTAGAACAGCTTTTCTTATCAGCTGTGCTGAAAGGCAAGCCACCCACCCTTGAACTCTCAACCCATATGTCTTGACCTCTACCCTTCCTGGGCAGCTGTTACAAAGCTCTTAGCCATTTTAAGTGACCTTTAAAGCACGCCTCAGTCTGTGGTGGTCAGCCGTAGAGCTGCAGATTGGCAAACCTACCTCTCCAGCAAATGCCTAGCTGCACCTTCTCCACCAGTAAACCTCGTGCCCAGAGGTCCTCAGCCGTTTTTATTCTGTGGGCTGAGAGGCTCACAGCTACGCCTTTCTTTATTCTGTTCCTCCCCCTCTACTATCTCTCCTTGCCATCTCTCCACTGCAGATTCCTGCTGTCTCCCTGGCTCAGTCTTTCTTTCCATCCCACAACTTCTCTCCAGCATCATATCTGCTGGTCTCATGAATCCCGGAAGTTTCAACACTGGGATCTCAGGTCCAGTGGCCACACCAGTGACAATTCTTTCTTGACATCCATGAAGTCTTCCTCACCCACCTTTGGGATAGCTCATGTTAAGCTGGTGGGATGGCGAATCTGACCAGGCCCATGGGAGCATTATACACGCCTTATTTACACGGCCTCACCCTACAAGAGTGCTATATATCTTATTTACATTATTAGTAAGCTGTCGTTTGCCTAATCGTGCCCAGTTTTTAAGGGAGCTTTGGTGGCCTCATGGTGAGAAGTTACACTGCCAGCCCGAAGATACAAGATGTGAATTCACCAGTTGCTTCTAGGGAGAAAGATGAGTAGTCTTCACCCCTAGGTGATCTGCAGCCCCTAAAATCCACTGGAGGGTCAGGTAGATGTTGACAGCACATAACAATAACTCAGTCGTTTGGTGGGTGTTAGAAAGCCCACACTTTACAATGTTCTAGAAGGACCACATCAAGCAGACTACACCACAGTTCCTTATACGTCAGTCCATAACTCCCCTTCCTGTGCGGTCTCCACTTGTGAACTGAGTGACTGCGATCCGTAGTTTTCACCCACTTGCGTTCAGAAGCACCTGGCCAAGCCTGTGTCCCTACTCACCTTCCTCTGTAGCTCTGCCGAGGCCTGTGCACGTCACGGCAGCAGGCAAGACACCAGCGACGTAGTGATGGTGGTAGCACATGAGGTGTATGGGTCAGGAACTGAACCCCATTCTCCCCCCTGGAAAATGAGAATCCTGCCACCTATATGGCATCTGAGTGGAACCTTCTGAAATTATTGTGACAGAGAGAAAAGTGATCAAAAGATTGTGAAAATCTAAGAAATAAAATTCCTATCATTTTCACTTCTAAGGGAAAAAAAATCCCAATTAGATTGTTTAAAGTATGTGTGTATGTTGTTGTTGTTGTTGATTGCCATCGAGTAAAGCACAATTCATAGCCTGTGAACCCATCATAAATATATAATGTGCAGTCCTGAAGGCATGTGGTTCAAAGCCACTAGCTACTCTGGGGAAAAAATGGGCATTCTCCTCCTGTGCGACTAACTGCCTCTGAAAACCCGCTCAAAGGTCCGCTGTGGGTCGGTTCCCACTTGATGGTACACAACAATGGCGTATGTGTGTGTATGTGTGTGTCTATATATTAATGTGTCTATGTGTGATATTGTACATAGGGTCGCTATGAGTCACAAGCTATGAGTCAACGGCACATAACAACAAACAACATGTGTGATATAGGAAACTCTGGTGGCCTAGTAAGAAATTGCACTGCTATCCCAGAGGCATGTGGTTCGAATTCACCAGCCACTGCACGGGAGAGGGATGGACAGTCTCCTCCCTTGCAATAAACTGCCTCTGAAAACCCACTAGAGGGTCAGCTGTGGGTCGGTTTTGACTCAGTGGTACACAATAACAGCAACAAAGTTGATTTAATGTAGATAGTGTAATTTAGTGTTGATAGAAAGTAAAGCTTCTCTTTGTTCCACTTTGTGCTTTTCAGTTTGTCTGTTTTCAGAGTAATTTGTAGTTTGTTTGATTGTGTCTTTGTAATGTGTTCTGCTTTTTTATTTGACAGGTGGCAATATACACCACGCTGAGGTCTCACTCTTTGGAGAACCTACTGAATTTGAGTATTTGCGGAAAGTCCTTTTTGAGTATATGATGGGTCGGGAGACTAAGGTATCAAAATCATATCTGTTAATTTGGTGTGTGGCTTAATTTGATAGGGAATAAGCCCCACTTCCTCTGCAAATAATGATGCCATATGTTTATTACTGATAGATATATTACTAGTAAATTATTGCTCTCAGTCCACAAAAGTGAATTGGCAGATCTTATATTTGTTGCCTCTTTATAAAAGTCTGATTTTTAAAAAATGCCATTGAAGGATGCGAAATGCTGAAAATTTAAATTGTATTAACTCGGGAATGGCTTGGAAAATATTTGGTTATTTTGGGAGTTTGACCTCAAATCAATTACAGGAGAATAGATTTATGAGGAGACTTCAGAATAATATGAATAGTACTGGACATCATCATAATTAAGAATGGCTACTAGCGAGATTTTAAAATATTATAATCATTGTAAAAAAATTATCCTTTCATGAATGAAATAGTGACTATTCCATATAATCTAATATTGACTAGTCCAACATTGACTATTACACCATTGGAGTAGTTGCTTGGTTAATTTGTTATATAAGGTCTTCGAATGTAGGAGTCTCTTTCTTAAATTGTTTTTAAAACATAGCCTTAATCATGTTAGGTATTTGAGAATTGAATGTCTTCAATTGAATGTACTTGGGAAACTCTTGAGCCATTCCCCAAGCAAAAGTTTTCATTTAAATCCATTTGTTTTTAGCATTGTTTCAACTTTTTACTTTTGTGTATTTTACCTCGGCTATGATTGGGACGCTGGGCTTTCTCGCTTTGAAAGCAATTAGTATTTTAAAATTCTATGTTGAAGTGTTTCTGATTCATACAAAAGTTAGTGTTCTCTTACTCTATGTCCTTACTTGACAACCACTTGGATTGAATAGTTGATTATTTAAGATTACTTTGTTGTTGCATTAAGGAGAACCTCAAAAATTTTAAAAATAAAAAGCCTATTAGAAAACCTTAGCTACTTTGGCTTCTTATTGAGTCTAAAGCTACATTCCCAAGATTATTGTTCAATAATTTATCCTTTACCCTGTGACCTGAAGAGGCTGACCGCCTCAGCGTGTTTCTTCTGGAAGTTGAGAATTTCGACAGGGTGGGATCTATGCAGAGTTGAGTCTCCCAGAAATGTTGAGATACGTTCAAGGGTAGTGCTGGCTCAGCTAAGTCTGAGCTCATTTCAGAGCCCTGAAGCAGCTCTGGGGTGTGCCTTTGTGCCCCAAGGCACCAGTGGCCTCACCCAAAACCTCACGGCGAGTCCATGTTAGGAGAAGTGCCCTCTCTCCCTGATCTTTATCGTCCACATTCATTGCACTTTCCTGGCTCCTAAAAAGGAAGAACTAGAGTATCATTCTGCTATCACAGTTTCCAGGTAAATATTGAAAATGAGCCTCAGTATTCAGTTAAATGTACTATACGTTTATTAAGTATTTACTACATGCAGCCCTTTGTGGGTCGTCAGGATCGATAGCTAAAACTTGGCACCTTCCCTCCATCAAGGAGCTGAGTATGTCCAGTCGGAGCTTATTATAATGCAGAATAAGATGATGCAGAATGTAGGGAGGGCCGGACGTGAGCACCAGAGTCCCCTTATTTACATGTGGGAAGGTCAAGGGGAGCACATGGAGAAGATGCTCTAGTGCTGGGCTTTCAAGAAAGGATTAGGTTTTGACAAATGAGTGAGGTGAGAGGGTATCTCAGCAGTTTTGAGGCAGGACATTAAGTGTAGATTTTTGGAATGGCAAACAGTTTGTCTCAAACATATGTCAAGATTGTGAGGAGGAAGTGCTGTGTTCTAGGGCCGGGCTGAATGTGGAGGACTTGGAACACTTTGAGAGGTTTCCCTGCAGGCCTTGGAAGGTAGCCCTCAACAACTTCCCATAGGAGTTGGTAAGATCAGACCTGGCTTTGGACTGACCTTTACCATTTACTGTTTTGTCTACTTTCTATAAATTAACAATTTGAAACAGAGACGAGATTAGAAGGAGTCCAGCGTATGTTATGTGTTTTGTGATTGATTGCCGTCTGCGGTCCTCTGGCAGGTCTGTATGTCACCTCCTGCCATCTTCATCTGCTTTTCCTCAGAGTCCGTATTTTATGAGGCAGATGACTTCTTTTTCCAGAAGACCCTTTTTTTAAAAAAAAATATATATATAAGATACACGTTCATAAAATACGGTTTTTAGTAAAGTCCCGTCCTTTTCAGTTCTTGTCCTCCTTTTTCTTGGGTTTTAATCCTCCATGATATTGTTGATAGGGAATTCTGGTGGCTTAGTGGTTAGGATTTGTACTGCCAACCCAGAGGCAGGTGGTTCAAATCCACCAGCTGCTCCCTTGGAGAAAGATGGCTCATTGCTCCTGTGTGATCTGCAGACTCGGAAAACTTGCTGAAGGGGCAGGTATGGGTCAACTCCCACTCGTTGACACATAACAACCACCTTATTGATACTGACATTCAGCCTGTTCTCTCTTTCAGGAAAGTGTCTCCATCTAAGAGACATTGAAGAGTCCTCTCCTGTAGGTAAACCTGGCAGGGAAGGTCCCTTCTACACCAGGTGGCTCCTTTGAACTTTCCTTCACCCCAGGGCCTGAGGATTTGGTTATAAGATTTGATTGTAGACAGTCGGATTTCCTTCTCAGGATTTGGCAGAGAAGTCTTTAAGGGGCTTCTCCATTAACAGTGTTTTTGGGCAAGCCAGGGAAGAACTTTGAAGTCTTTACTGAGCGATCAGCTGGAAATTCTGAAATGGATACAGTTCAGTTTAACAGCCAGCATAAAGTTGAATCCACGCTTTAGTGTTCACAGCCACAGCAACAAAGGTGAAGAGACCTCTAGCTACAATCCTTTGTTCACCATAGTCAGTGTGATTGGACTTTTTGATTCTTTGAATTTTTAAAGTTATTGACATTTAAGAATTTTTATTACTGCAGATCCTGAGATTTTAGATTTTTTTGATCTAAAAACCTCACTGCCATGAAGTAGGAATGACCCTCCATTGGGTTTCTGAGGCTGTAAATTGCACAGGACGGGGTTGCCCATGCTTTTCCCTTACAGCTCCTGGTGGATCCAAACTGCCACGGAGGCGTGTGTGGCCTGTAAGGGGTTCACAGTGCAACTTCCTGTCGGCTCCACTACCAGAATGCCGTAAAAATGATCTCTGTAGTCTGTACACCAGAAACCACACAGAATTGTTTCAGTTCTAATTAGCGAAATATGGAAATAATTGCATGATCCTGTTTCTTTTGCCATTTCGTATCACCACACATATTTTCACGCTTGAATTTCAGACTTCAGTTTAGTACAACATTCCCCCCATCCCTCAAAATGTGTTGGCATTCGGTTCGGACTGGCTCATAGCCGACTCTCTGTCAGGCTTGCAGAAAGCTTTCAATCACACAGGAGGAGACTGTCCACTTTTCTCCCATGGAGCCACTGGGTGGCTTTGAACCACCAGAGAGGTGCCACTTTTGGGGGTTCGCAGTACAATAAAAATGAAAAGATGAGAGTTTCTTGAAAATGTTTTTGGAATTGTTGTAAATGTCTCTCTTTAATCTCCTCCACCCCCAGGAGAAATAAAAGGAACAAGAAGGCCGAAAGTCTTCGTGTGTGAAGTTTATGGCTGAGGAATAGTCCTACTTGATCTATTGAAATAAACTCTAGAAATAAATATGTAAAATTACCGAGGCTTAGCTTGTAATAGGTGTTTTTAAACCAGTAGTTCCTTTTCTTCCTGGAAATAATTGCACTTTTTTCCTCATGATATAATTTGCCAGAAATGTTGGTTGAATCCATTATGCCCTCTCTCCTTGATGACCTGCCCTAGGCTATGAGATGTTGTCCCTTCACCCCACCCCACCCCATGGACATATGTGAACCCACAGACACAGACATGCACACACACAGTCGTACCAATGTGTAACCATGAACAGAGTGTTAGAGTCTCTGCGTTGGGCTACCCTCCCATCAAATGCGAGAATCCCCGAGCCCCCCCACCCCCTAGGAGAGCACTGCCCCTTGGTTTTGTATGTGAAGCACTGAACTTGTTATCCTCTTTGTTTCATGAGCAATATCTTCTTTCCTCTCTGTCTTCCTCAAAACATCCCACCTTGATACAAAATAGGGAGTTTCAGCCTTTGAGGAGACTTTTCCACGAACTTATGGGTGACAGTCTGACTCACGGTATATTATTTAGATCTGCACAATTTATGATCTTGTTTTTTTGCAAGCCACCATGTGTAATGTTTTGATTCATCATGTTTCTCTACCCAACAAAACATCTTGTGTTTATTTAAGATGTAATTTGTATTTCTTTTAGGCTGATGTTGTGCATGTTTTGATGATTATAGTCGAGCATGTTCATGTTCATGCAGTAGCCCGTGTTGATGAGATATATGATGTGATTCCGTTAAAGAGGAACGTGGGGGGTGCTGAATCCTGGGCTTTGGAGCAAGAGCACATGTTTTGGCAATGCAGCATTCCTTAGATAGAATTCTACAGAGGAAAGGCCTTACGGAATGAATGAGTAGTGAAGATTCATCTTAATAACACAAACGATCAAGACTAGAACTTTATATAGCTTCATGCTATTGTAATGACATCTTTTAAAAATTCTATCAAGCCAGATATTGTGAGGAGTCCTTTCCAGTTGAAATTCTGGGGTTGGCTGCTATCCGTTGACTTAAGACCTTCACATCATACTTCTTTGGTCATGGCTTTCATTGAAAACACTTAAGAGTCCCACCAGCAGAACTTGTCAGAATGGGCTGCCGTTTCTCTTGCTTCCCTGGCTGCGAGTGAACAGCTCTCGTTTTTCTTGTAGACAATGGCTAAAGTTATAACTACTGTACTGAAGTTCCCTGATGATCAGACTCAGAAAATTCTGGAAAGAGAAGATGCCCGGCTGACGGTAAGTAGAGTTAAAATAGAAGATTTTTATCTCATCTGTCTGTATTCTGTCTTACTCATAAAGACTTTGAGTTGGTAAACTATGTGTGTGTCTATATATAAAGAAGTCTTGTGCTATAGACTGAAAAATGAGAGGAAATCCACATTAAGACTGTTTAATCAAAGGCAAAGGTGAATGGGTACCATGAAGGGGAAAATACTAGCATATATGAGGTTGACTTCCATATATGCTATATGGGATTTCCAGAACTTTGGGCTGTTTATGAAAAGTATAGAAAAGGTATTTTTTTTTTTTTGGTAGCTCTAATAATTTCTTAAACCAGGTTATATCACAAGATTAAATGTTTAATAGATGACAGGTTTTTTTACTCCAAGTTATTTCTAAATACAAATAATTACTGATGGAAGAAAACATTTTTGAGCTTTGTCTATCATGGAAATATAAACCGATAATTGAATTATTAAAATTGAAACAATTGGTCATCTATTGAAAATGAAATACACACTTGATAAATTACGCAAAAATTCTCCACACTTAACTTTAGCCCTGGGCTGTTTATTCATTAAGAAGATCCGCTTTAATCAGAGTGTGAAACCTCTGACCTTTGGGCCCTGACCCTAGTTCTCTCTCCGTACTACCTTTCCTTGTCTTGGTCTACAGTACCTTCGCCACCCTCCCCCCAATTTCCTTACATATTTTGTTATCCCCAGAGTGGCTTCTCCCTTCTCTTTTCTGACCTAAGTGAGTAAGGGTCCTCTCCGCTGTGGGGAGGTAGTATACATCTGGTGTCTCTAGTAATAAGGAGTAAGACACTAATTACTCCCTGGTGCATTTAATTTTTTTTTAATTAATTTTAATAGACATTTACAGAGGTTTTGGATTTCCATTCTTTCATTGCCACACTTTTCTCCCTCCCCTCTCCGAAAAGAAAAAGAAGAAAAAAAATTTCCTTCATTAGTATACAATTCCCCCATCCCTTCCCCCCAGCCCCCCACCCTGAGTACACGTCTCTATGCAACCTTCATTCTGGATTCCTGTACTAACCATAATACTCCATCATATATCACCTCTAATCTGTTCTTTCCCTCATCTGTTTCAATATAATATACATAATTTATCCCGTTTTTTCTGTCATACCCCATCCCTGATGTCAGACCCATTCTACAACAGTGGCACCATGCAGTATTTGTCCCTTTGTGACTGAGATATTTCACTCAGCATAATATCCTTCAGGGTCACCCATTTTGAATACTATTGCTTGAGTTCCTTGTTTTTCAATGAAGCATAATACTCCATTGTGTGAATATACCAGAGCTTCCCTATCCATTTGTTTTGGTGCATTTACTTTTATCTCTGACACAGTGTGTTTCTTTAACAAGCTCCGATCTGCCTCTGTTTACCTATGTTCTAGTTCTAACCCATAGAATTCAACCAAGCATTTGGAAATGGCCCAGATGGAAAGCTTGTCCCCTTCAAGTGAAATGGTCTCAGTACTTACCCCTCTGTGAAGGTGCTGACCTACCGCTAACCATGGTCAGTGTTGATGAGACCCCAGTGCCTTGAGCACCTTCTGGAAACCTCTTCTTGGCTCCTCCTAAATTCATCTTGACATCCCGAGAGGCATGCTGTATGTACTTCTGTATCGTTTCTGCTGGTTATGCATTTTTTGATAAATAAATAAATGTATCACCATAATATAATCCTTTTATCAATACAGAAGAATTAAAGTAAATTTTAGTGAAAATCAAATTGTTTAGGCTTTTAGTTACTGGGAATAGAATTTGTCTTCTTCAACAAGTGAGACAACTGTGTCTTTGTGAAAAATTAAAGTGTGAAAGTGAAGTTTGAACCTGTGGATACTATTCTGTCTTTTTGGTTCAGTTTAGGAAAATATTTTTTATAAAAAATATTGATAAGATTTATCAACTTAAAATTGGTAAGATTCATAAATATTATTGTTGTGTTGTTGCTATGTGCCGTCGAGTCACTTGCGACTCATAGCGACCCTATGTACAACAGCCCTAAACTCTGCTCTGTCCTGTGCCAATCTCATTGTCTCCGACACACTCAGTCCCGATTGCCCCAGTCACTGAATCAATCCATTTCCCAGAGGGCCTTCCCCTCCTGCGTCTGCCCTCCACCCTCCCAAGCATGATGTCCCTCTCCAAGGACCGGTCTCTCCTTACAACATGTCTAAAGTATGTTAGACGAAGCCTCAGAATCCTTGCCTCCAAGGAGCTGCCCGGTTTAACCCTTTCCAGGCTGAATCTGTTTGTTCTCCTAGCAGTCCATGGTATTCTCAATACTCTTCTCCAGCACCACAGCTCAAAAGCATTAATTCTCCTTCTATCCTCCTTGGTCATTGTCCAACCCTCTGATGCACAACAAGTGATAGCACCTTAGTCTCCAGAGAGATTTAATAAATATTACTAAGAATGATTTAAAATAGTCTGTCTGTATGAGCGTATGCAGCATGTATACATGTTCATTCCCAGTGGAGTTGCTGCTGTTTGATGTTCAGAGGACCTTTCTCCTCTTGACCATTGCTTCGTGTTGTTCGCAGGACGCACTGTAGGCCCACCTGACATCACTGCTTGAGGAGGTTCTACTAAGAGCCCCATCGTCTGCCTTAGGATTGCTGTCAAATGAGCAGTAAGACTCACTGGTTTTAAACAAGCCCTGCTCGTTGAGCTAATGCTCATTACATCACTGCCGAGAACAGTGAGTTCTCTTTTCCTAGCAGAACATGAGAACAAAGTCTGTGGAAAACAAAGTTCTCAGAGTTTATTAAATACCCATTGGAAAGCTCTTTGTCCTGTTAGTCTTGAAGGTGAGCTGCAGGTGGACCAGTGTTCTTTTTTGTTGTAAACCTGCAGACACAGTTTCCCTTCTCTTAAAATCAGCACCCTTGACTGCTTTTTGGTTTCGTTTTATTTATTTTTAAATTTTACCTTTAAAGGATGAAAAGCAGGAATAAACACCGAAACTGTCTCTTGATATTTTTAGATGCCTGTGACAGTGTGGACCGCACTTGGTGCTGTGTGTAGCGCGCTTGTGTGCCTGTCACAGCGTGGACCGCACTTGGTGCTAACTGTGTGTAGCGCTCTTGTGTGCCTGTCACAGCGTGGACTGCACTTGGTGCTGAGCGTATACAGCTCTCTTGTCTTTGCGTAGGTTAGTTGCATAGGGAGTTTTACTTTGTAAAGACTTTGCTTTGTGACCCTTTGTGTCATTGATCAGATTCTTGCCATGACTGCCAGTTGATATTTTCCTGTCTGCCTGTTTCAACATTTTTCCCTCCTATACTTTGTTTATCCTCCTTACTTGAAAAATCCCACTGCAGAATACAACAGTTATCACTTGTGCTTTCAGAGCTTACACCAATTTCAGGAGTCTCTGGGTGGCACATACGACGGAGCACTTGACTGCTTGCCACAAGGTTGGTGGTTTGAGCCAACCCAGTGTTGCCTAAAGAGTGAGGCCTTGTGATCGTCTTTGGAAAGGTCACAGCTTTCAAGACCTCATGGAGCAATTCTGTCTGTCACAGGGGTTTGCAGGAGTCACTACTGTCTTCATGGCAACCGACAATAACAACCACCACCTGATATTTACGGTGTGTTTCGTAGATGAGAAACTGCTCCCTATCAAGTAAGATTAAATCATAGAGCATGGTTGGGATTTCTAACTGGAAGCAGAAGGCTTCCAGTCCAGCAAGAATGCTTGCTTATTGAAAACCGAAGAACTCATATATTATTATTCAAAACTGTTGACCCTGGAGGACATTATGCTGAGTGAAATATTTCAGTCACAAAAGGGCAAATATTAAAAAAAAAAAGGAAAATATTGCATAGTGCCACTGTTGTAAAATGGGACTGACATCTCTCAAGAAGACAGAAAAGGAGGAGAGGAATGATGTATATATTGCATTGAAACAGATGAGGGAGAATACTGTTTAAAAGGGACATATGAATGGGTATTCTTGTCATTACAGAAGTCCAGAGTGAGGGCTGCATAGTGGAGTGGACTTGGGGGGGAGGGATTGCATAACAGTGAAAGCATTTTTCTTTTTCTTTTCAATGAGAAGAGTGATTTGGTGGGGGAGGGAGTGGGCAAGGAGAAATGTACAACAATGAATGACTGGAAATCCTAAGTCTCTGTAAACTTTCATTAAAATTAATTTAAAAAAATGAAAAAAAAAAATAATGCTCGCTTACCTTTCTCCCTTCATTGGCTCAGTGGATACATGTGAGATGGATTCAGGAAACAAGTACAAATGACACTGACAGGTGGTAACAGACACTGTCATATCATCCGTTGTTCTCTTGAGAGGGACGTGTGTAGCATGTCATCATTGCAGGGCACATTACAGCTTGGGGACATACTTTTTAGAGAGGACATTCCTTATGATTTTAAGCCTTCAGTCTATTCTCACCATGTCATGGTCACCTCTGTAAATGATTTAGAAATTTCTAAGCTTCATAAACAGAATTATTCCTTTATTACTTATTTTTAGAAATGAGACTAAATGTATACTAACAACTTGCTTAGTTCACTTAGTATATTTTTGTTACAGTATTTTACTTCCTAACACACTGATCTCCTTCATTCCTTTTTAATGGCTGGCTGTATGTGTTATTAAATGGCTATCCTATAAATTAGTTGACCGGTCTCTGCTTTATGGACGCATGGTATTTTCAGTTTTTCATCTCTTAGAAGCATAGAATCCAGAAACATCCATACGCATGCGGGGTGTGTACTTGATGCGGGTTTCTTAAATTAGCCTTATTGTATTGCGTGTTGCAAGTATTTTGTCCTTTAAGTTTGCTGCTTTTTACTAATTTCACATTAACTGTAAAAGAGGAATGAGACTTCTGAGATTAGTCACACTTTCCAGGTATAGGTCCAGATTTTATAAACAACCCCTGTATTTGCTGTTTTAAAAACAAGTGCTTTTGAACTATGATTCTTTCAAAACAAGACATAAGATTATTTAAGAAGGTTTGCTGCAGTGACTAGGTTTTTGTGCAGTGAAATTTCTGGTTGACTTCCCATTCTTGAAGCCATTTCTGATATACTATTGGATTACAAGACAGTTATTCAGTGATATATTATTGATAGAGGTTGTTGTTGTTATGTGCCATCGAGTCGTTTGCGACTCATAGCGACCCTATGTACAACAAGCCCTAAACCGTGCTCTATCCTGTGCCAATCTCATTGCCTCTGACACACCCATCCCGATTACCCCAGTCACTGAATCAATCCACCTCATAGAGGGTCTTCCCCTCCTGCGCTGTCCCTCCACTCTACCCAGCATGATGTCCCTCTCTAAAGACCTGTCTCTCCTTACAACATGTCCAAAGTATGTCAGGCGAAGCCCCAGAATCCTTGCCTCCAAGGAGCAGCCTGGTTTAACCCTCTCTACAATGAATCTGTTTGTTTTCTTGGCAGTCCATGGTACATTCAATACTCTTCTCCAGCACCGCAGCTCAAAATCACCATATAGACAGATGTTATTTAAAATTAATTAGCATTTTACTGAAAAGTTTTGATGATAAATTGAGATTACTTAGACCAGCTTTTAATGTATCTTTCAAGAAAACTGACAGGAATGGTTTCTTTGATGAGGAGCTCGGCTGGCATTACCTGGAAGGGATTGCACTGCTGACCCAGCGGCTGTGCGGTCTGGAGGTTCAAATCCACCGCCAGCTCAGGCCCGGGGCTTGTACAGCCTGGGAAACCCCGTGCCGCGGCCGGCTGTGAGGTAGTTCTGCCTTGATGGCAGTGCGTTCAAGTTTGAGGTTTTTATTAAATATTCTTACAAAGCAAAGAGTCACTCCCTAGTTCCCCGAGTATATAAATACATAAAGGTGTAAAGTGTGCTTTTAATTTTTGTTTAAAAATGTCTCAGCTCTGTAAGTTTACTTGTGATGGCTAAAGCTATTACGGATTTCTTATACATTGCCTATTCTCTCTTGCTTTGAGGAAATTTGAGAGAAATTTAAGTCTATTCTTTTGAATCCTGTTAAGCTACTATACACGTGTAATCTGTATTACACTGAGTTTTAAAGCTAACCCAGTAAGCTTTTTTTTCTTCTTCCTGGCTTTGTAGTTTACTTCAGCTCGCAGTGGTCTCTTCTGAGTAAACCATCAGTCTGTGCTTAGTTAGCCTGTGGTGAGTGAAGTCTAATGTCTTGTGTCTTTTGTACAAAAATCAACTGTGTTGCATGATACTAACCCTTTTGCTATAATTCTTTTGCTCTTTTGCTTAATGAACATATGATTATGTGGTCAATAGAAATATTTTTTGTTCATTTTAATCCATAAATTCTGATTTATCTGTTAATTCTTGCATATAGCTACATAATCATCAATAATATACATTATTATAATGATAAACACCTTTAAATAGCAGGTGTAAGTTTCAAAACTGCTATTTGAAATCTTGTTAAAGGGCTGCAAAAGTACTATGTATTTTGTTTTAAAAGTTTTATTTTATATTGGTTTGACTGTATTTTATATTTTGGTTTTCGTTTTCCAAGAAGTGTCTTTGAAATGAATAAATAAATGAGGAGGGGGGGAAGTAGTTTTGTAGGTAAAAGAGAGTAATACATTTTACAAATTCAGAATGAAAAAATAAAGCTTAATTAGAGTGAGAGCTAGCCTAAAATAATGACAGCTATTAGGGTTTTGTTTCTTCCTGAGCAGAAAGCCAGTGTGTTGCCCCAGATCCTGAGGCGACCTTAAGCAGCCGGCTTTGATTAAATGGAGTTGTTGCTAAGTAACAGTACTTCTAAACACTGCTCCCCTTTTTCCTCCCTCTCTCGTTAACTGTCTCCCCCAAGTATTCTGTTTTCCAAATAATGCCTTTCATTATCTTTAAAAAACCCAGAATATACTCCACAGATTGCACATTTGCATTTGGTTGGCATGTCTTTTTCAGTCTTTCACGTCTCTGACAAGGTGCAGTGTTGTTGAAACATGCAAAAGTTTCATTTCCCACTGTAGCTCAAGCTGAGGTTTCAAAATAATAGCTGGCAAAGGAATTTAAGACAAGATCTGTTTTAATCATTAGGCTTCTAGGCCCAGCATTGAATTAGTTTTACAAATAACATGCTATTGAGGACACAGGCAGTCTGCAGGTTACAGATGCCCTACTGAGAACTCCCCTCTGCCCTTTGTTATGTAAGTTTACCCTGACTTTAGAATGACTGGAGCAATGCCTGCTGACAAGTTCTTCAGGATACTTTACCTTCCTTGCTGCAGCTTTTAGGTCATGGAAGAGACTTCAAGCCTTGTCTTCACTAAAGTTAGATAAGAACCATACGCACCTGTCACGCCTTTACAGAATCCACGTAAAGATAGGAGAACTTGTTCATTTGTAACCTCGAGACGACTTGTGTCTCCTGAGAAAGACATACATTCATGTCCAAGTTGAGAAGTCTTTAAAATCCTGTCTCCTTACACCAGATATGTATGGAAAGATTGCCTCTGTTTAATTATTTGGTGATTTATTTTTGTGGTATTTTGTACTTCATACTTGAGACATTGGACATGGTTCTTATATTTTAATCTGAGAAGGAAGCCTCATTAGGAAGATCGTGGCTTCATTTCTCATTGCATTTTGTGTACGCTTAGCTTTTAACACCGAACTACTGTTTCTCTTTGGCTGCAGTGCCCATCGTTCTGGGAGAATTGCTGTCTGTAGGAAAATGAACTTTAGAGGGAGCAGCTCCTTCCCTTTAAATGCAGTCTGAGGAGCTGCATCCAGGCGAGGTTTGGTCACGTTAGCACAGTAAGACGTGAGTGTTGCGGTTAGGACTTGGCAGCGCTCTGTGCCCAGTGAAAAGTTATACCGCCAAACTGCTTTCAAAGATATTGTCCAGAATTGCTGACTAATGGTCAGTTTGAATTATTCTAAGAACATATTTTTTTAGAAGATTTAAGGTTGAATATTTAGAATTTTCCCACTTCTCTACTATATTCCACAGATGATAAAATAAAAGCTTATTTTAAAAAAAACAACAAACAAAACCCAACTCCCAAAATACTGACTTTGAAGAGAAAAACTTTTGTTGTTAATTCTTTTTTCTTTTTCTTTTCTCAGTCATGGCTTCGATCTTCTTCTTGAAGAAATGGGGAGGATGATACAGGGCAAGCCAGCTGTGTGGAAAACGATCCACATTCGTAAATCTTTGAGAATCAAGTTGTTATTCAAGGTCTCTAATGTAGCGAGAAGACCAAGAAAAATTTGACCCCACAGATACATTGCAGACTGCCTTTAAAATAGATTCTATTGGTGGAGAAATGGGGACAGTTTTGTGTGTGTTTTATTTTTCTTTTTTCTTCAGTTTTCTGTTGGGAAGAGTTTATGTTATTTAAAAGATAACTTTAATAATCTGATTTAAAACACTGCAGTGTTTGTTTCTTATTCCTTGTATCCTTTTTAGAGACCTGTTATCCTTTCCTATTTATTTTTAAGATGATTTAAAAAAAGACTTGTGCAATACATTTTGAGGTGAAACTTCAGTGGCTTTTTTTCTGATAAATTAAAGCATTTAACTAACTATTTTATCCTGATTGATTTGTTGAGTATTTGCTAAAGACTAGCTCTTTAAGCTATGACACAATAAATCAAATGGCAGTACCTCATTGTTTACTTAGCTTTTGTACTTAACACTTTTCAGAGGAAATAATACTACTGTAAATTGTAAATAGTCAATACAAAATTGTATGCAGATCTGTGACTATTGACTATGTCATCTTAAAGGAACAGACAAATAAAGTTTATTTACTATATAAAATTTGCTACTTGTTCTTTTTCCTGAATTGACATTTATTTCCAGAGGGTCAAGAATCTGTATCTAGATGAGGGAAGTAATGCGCTGTTTGTCAGGGTAGCTAAACACCGAGCGTTTAGGAAGATTGTTTTCTTTTCTGTTCCAGTTGTTGCTAGGTAGGGGCAAGTCAAGCCAACTCATCGTGACCCACTCTGAACAGCAGCTCTGAACTTGTCCTGTCCCATCCCCACCACCTCTGCTACACATGAACCCATGGCTGTCGTCATTCACCATAATTACCATAATCAAACTAGAAGATGAGTGCAAAGAAATACAAGAATCAGTTTTCAAATTCTACCATCATGGGATTGCCTCCATCTCTGGAGTAGACTATACTCTGAATGCTTTTCAACCCCATGAGAGAAGTTTCTGAATGCCAAGAGGCAGGTGCTTTGAGGGTATTTCATACGCCTTTTCTTTTCTCAGAAGCACAGTGTTCAGATGATATCTAAGCATTCTCTAACCTCTGCTTCAAGATTCATCTCCATAATCCAGACGGTCTGGGCACTATGTGATGGGCAGTTGGGCGCCGGGAGATTCATGGGTAGCACGTGACCAATAGATGTCACTTGTCCCCCAGCCACACTTTTGGGAAGCACAGGAGGACAGTCTTATTATCCTTTTTATTTTTAAATCAAAGATAAGTTGGCAAAGTGTGTCCCTTGGAAAGGCTTCTGACAAGACATTATTTGTCACCCTCTTTTATATCTTTTTCTCAGAAATGGTGAATTTTGGTGAAATTCTTGTATAACTTCTGCCAATTTCTTCCTGACCCACATGTTGAGAGAGGCATATCATGAAGGGCAGGTGTAGAGGGCCAGACGGGAAGTAGTTGTTCCTTTACAGGACATACAATTTCGATAGCAAAGTCTCCATTCCATTCTTGTAGTGTGCAAGCAGCCTTAGACCACACAGAAATGAAGCCACACAATTGTTTCTGTAAAACTTGACTATGACAAAAGGTGAGGAGGGAGCTCTGGTGGCCTAGTGGCAAGAAGCTGTGCTGCAATCCCTAAGGTTCGTGGTTCAAATCCACCAGATGCTCTGCTGGAGAAGGAGGGGCAATCTCCCCCTGTGCCAAACAGATCCGATTCAATGGTGCACACAAAGAAGATAAAAAGGAAAAAGTCATGAACCAGTTTTGGCTCGAAAACGTAGTTTTCCAGTCTCGGGGTGGGGTGGTGGGGGGGTGGGGAAGTCGGGCCTTAAACAACTGAGCTTGGAAAAGATGGCACCTGAGTGGATTCCTCCAGGAGAAGCAGGCGGACCCGGTGGGGTCAGAGGGGCATCCTGAGCAGAAGGGGAGGCACAGTGGTGAGGGAGGGTCCAGCTGTGTGAGGAGCTACAGCGCGTGCGCTGCTGGTGTGTGAGGTGTAAGGCAGGTGTGGAAGGTGAGGCTCGAGGTGGGTGGGGCTACAGAACAAGGGCCACAACTCCTTGCTAAGGTCCCTGCTAAGGTTATGAGTAACCAAAAGGTTAGCAGTTCAAGCCTAGCCAGTGGCACTGAGGAGAAAAAAGGCCTGGCAATGTGCTTTCATCAAGATCACAGCCAAGGGAAAGGTCCTACCTTGGACACATGGGGTCTCCATGAAACTGAGCCAGCCCCGTGGCAACCAACAGCGATATTCCTTACTTTTTTCAGGTAAAGAACTTCAGGACGGCCTGAAATGTTTGCAGCTCAGGGCCATTACTTTCCCTCCCAGAAGGCTCAGCGCCCATCTTTGCTGGAATCTTACAGCAGCAGCGTTTGCCAGCATGGGCTCTGAGTGGACACACACCTGGGGTGTTCCGTGGCTCAAACTGAACGCAGTGCGTAAGGTAACCCTGACCTCTCAGTGGGAGGGAGGGGGGGAGCCGTCAGAGTTCGGCTGCCTGTTGGAGCATGTGTACCCCACTGCTTGCTGTCCAGGGCCAGGAGAATAAGGCTACAATCAGCTGGCCTTTGCCACTGAGGCCCACTGTCAAAACAGCTTCACGGGCCGGCATTTGAACCAGACCTTAGGCCCCTTAGCCCACTTAGCTCTCAGCAGGACCATTTCTCAATTCCACTCATGAAACAGGAAGTTGATTTCACATCCAGCAGATGTGAATGATGGCAGTGGCGCCAGCAGAATGATGCAATGCTATGTATCACTCAGGAGCAATGATTTTAAAAAATATACTATGTAACGTGGGAGAGGGTCGAGAACTTGATGTTGAGTGAGGTAACTCAGTCTTATAAGGACAAATACTGCTCCTTGGAATTCTTTATGGCTGACGTTTTGACCTTTCTTCTAAGGCTCCTCTGGGTGAATTTTAACCTCCGTGGCACCTATCAACAACGACAACATCAACCAGTAAGGCGTTCTGGTGGCAGAGTGTAGAAAGTGTTGGGTCATCAGTTGCTTTAATGGGGGCGGGGGGAGAACCTGGACAATTTCCTTGTAAAGATTAACACCCTCAGAAAACACTAGGGTTTGTTTCATCAATCAGCAAGGTAGATAAACAATTTTCAAAATTAGAAGGTAATATATCAATACAATATTATGAGGTTTTTTTAGGCAATTTAAATGTACTTTTCCAATTATAGATTTAAAGAGTTATCTTGAATCCTATAAAAGGCATAATGTAATAATATATTTTAAGAATAACTCATTTGTACAGGGGCTTTCTGATTGAATTTAGTCCGATGGACAGACTGTTAACTTATTAAGGAAGCAACTTAAGGATATATTGATTGCAGTAGATGAAGAAGACTCTCTCAGAAGGGACATTTTCATGCATTGCTAATAGGAAAGTAAATTGGCTTGACCTCTTTGAGGGCAATTTAGTGAATGCCATTATAGTCAAAGTGCGCATTCCCCTTGAATAAGGAATCCAGCTTTCAGGAATTTATTTTTCTTTTTACCAAAACTCTTAGCCCTTGTGGAGTTTATCTTTCAATATGACTTTCCTAGCCATTGAATTTTACTTTGCCAGGAGGATGGGAAGGTATATGGGAATAGGGTGTGCTATTCACAAGAGGATTGGCTAGTCTTACCGTTAAATTGTGTGGATCCAGCAGCATAAAGAAGAAACCTCACTCCCAGGAAAAGAGCAGGCAAGAGGGCCTACAGGGACTACAGGACCAATGGCAGTAGCAGCCGCAGCAGAGAACAAGAAACTAGATGTGTGATGAGACCTTGAGAACTAGACCTTTGCCCAGGTTTATTGGACAATTGGAGGTGGGGAGAACCAATATGGGCAAGAGTGAGAACTTTGTAACAGTGACCTAAAGCAGCAAAGCTCAAGACTGAGGTTCCTGTCAGCACATAACAGAAGCTGTCTTGACTAGAGTCTGCTTCTAACCTGGATTATAACCTTTTGATTTCCCCAATATGGCAGTGTGTGATCTGTGAGCTCTCAAATTGGATTTTGGACCTAGTAAATGAGTAAGATTGATGTTGAGATGGGTAGAAAGAGGTATGGGAGCATGGGGGACGTATCTGACCTCATGGGAATTGGTTTGATGTTGTTGCTGTTGTTGACAGGGACAGTTCCCCTTTGTGAAGTTGGTAAAGGTCAGATATGGCCGTCTCCACATGGTCCTTGCACTTTTTACAACCCTGGTCACAAAGATGAAGGCACTAAAGTGTTTAAACCACATAGTTATTTAACATCCAACCACGTCCACCAACTAATTGAGTTTGCTATTTAAATCATTTATAGCCCATCTATTCAATGGAATTGCATACAGCCATTAGAAAAATCAATTTATCAATATGGAACATTCCTAACACGTTATTAAATTGAAAAAAGGGAACAAATTCAAGTACAGAGTGTGGTATGCTAATATGTATATTAAGCAAGTCTTCTACTTGAAAATGCTCAGACTATTTCTAGAAGCAAGCTGACAAAGTGGCCACAAAGGTTGTTTCCAGAAAAAAAGGGGAATTAGAGATAAGTGACTTGTTTTTCAATGTACTATCTGAAAATGTTTAAACGAATAAATAACTCAAATGTATGTGAGCAATAAAAAAAAATAAACAAGAAGAGCATTTATATTTCACAATCTTCTGTTCTTCTGCAAATTACTCTGTTTTTCATGGTTCAAAATTGGGAAAAGACTGCAACAGGGATGTGTCCAGTTTCCATACTTTTTCCATCTTAATGCAGAACAGATCATTTGGAAGGTTGGGTTGAGGAAGAGTGTGGCTTCAGGGTTGGAGGAAGATGCAGATGACACAATCTTGATTGCCAAAAATGAGGAGGACCTGAAGTGTTTGACGCAGAAGGTCAATAACTGTATGTAGTTTTCAATATGGACAGAAGC